TGCTCGCGCTGCTGTTTCTCCTGCTCCAGCTGCTTCTGTGTCTGCTCGCGCTGCTGTTTCTCTTGCTCCAGCTGACTCTGCGCTTCGCGTAAAAGCCGCCGTAAATCCTGCTCGTTCATGTCCATCATAATATTTGAGTCTAATGGTATGAGTGCAGAACCGAGCGCTGAACTTGCATGTTGTTGTGTTGTTTGCTTTAGCCGCATGACGTTAACTTAGGCGGCATGGATTTGATTTGTCATTTACCCTGACCCTGTCAGTAGAGGTGGATCCGAAGAAGGCTAGCGAATTGCCTATTCAGGGTCCGTGACCACCTGATAGCAGAGGTGCCCAGGGGGGGGGAGGGGGGTGAGAGAACACCTGGCAAGATAGCTTGATATGAATCAATCCAATCAGACATCGATGACACATTGAGCACACTGACAGACCCTGTCAGTAGAGGTGGATCCCAAGGAGGCTAGCGTATTACCCATTCAGGACCCGTGCCTACCTGACAGCAGAGGTTGTCGATGTCTGTGCGGAAGATCATGGGAGCGATGAATGGTGCATAAGTGAGATCGTAAACCTGCTTAGTTCACTATATATAGCAGAATAGTTAGTAGTAGAGCCACTTTCTACAAATGCATACCAGGCATTTGAAGGTAGAGGCAGATGGTAAGAGGGTGGGCGAAAGAGGAGACTGGCCACGTTTGTTTACTCCAGGGTTTGCATGCGCGGTGAAGAGGGACGTGCGGAGCCACGCGCTGGTCTTCTGATTGGCCATGGCTCATCACGTGTCGGTCACTTGATGAAGCCCGCCTAACCGGGCATAGCTGCAGATAACTAGCAGCCAAAACCGAGTAGGAACAAATCAAATCAAATCATAATTGCGGTCTTCTAAGACTACCCGCAGCCGCTGGACCACGAGCTGGCAGCAGGAGACGAAGGGCAGAGCTACATACCGGCACACACCACTAACAGATAAGAAGGTGCTACAGCTATATAAAGGCCTAACTAAGGCCGAGAGCGCCTTATTCGTGCAGATGAGAACCGAGAAGATCGGGCTCAGAGACTTCCTCTTCTTCCAACGTGTTCCAGGTTTCGAGGACCCAGGATGCCCCTGCGGCGGAGGCCGCCAAACAGTCGCGCATACGCTCCTGCGGTGCCGACTGCTCCAGGACGAACAACAGCTCGGATTCGGGAGCCTGCCGGGCAGAGAGGACCTGCAAAAGGTACTCTCAATACACAAGCTAGCCACAAAAGCGATCACACTTATAGAACAGGCGAGGGCCCTAGGGCAAAGGGCGCCGAGCGAATAGGTGATGCGAAGTATTAGGTGGAGACTAAAGGTATTAAGGATAGCGAAACATAGGGCATACCCCTCTGAGCCTATATATAGCAGAATAGCTAGTAGTAGAGCTACTATCAACAAACGCGCACCGGGCATTTGAAGATAGAGGCAGATGGTAAAAGGATGGGTGGAAGAGGAGACTGGCCATGTTTGTTTACTCCGAAGTTTGCAAAGAGGGACGTGTGGAGCCACTTGCTGGTCTTATAATTGGCCATAAGTTAGCAAGCACATCACGGGTCGGTCACTTAATGAAGCCCGCCTAACCGGGCGTAGCTGCAGATAATTAGCAGCCAAAACCGAGTAGGATCAAATCAATCAAACAATCAATCAAACCCGGTCGCCCCATATAACTCAACTTATATCGCCCGGCCTGCACGTCGCGCCGGCCTCCTTCCCTGGTGCGCTCCGTCATTTAAACACAAGATGCCCAAGCTCTTGTCTTCACGAAGGACGAGTCCGCAGAGAACGATCGAGCGCTCGACCTGATCTCCCCGGCTCGTCGACCTTGATCGGACGCATCACCTTCCCGTCCGGGAACGTGGTGAGCGCCGCCGCGGACATTGCGATCTTCCCGGCACGGCAGACACCTGAAGATGCTCATCTGTGCGTGTCTGGCCCGCAGAACCGCGTCGCGGCCGTGATGGCCCGGTGCGCTCGGGGTTGTGCGTCGAAGAGGGCAGGACGGTAACGGGGCGCTGGCAGGGGACCACACTGGAATGAGAATTGTGGGAAGGTCGACAAGTTGCTCAGGATCTGTTCTCTTACGCGCAGGATATATTCTCTCCCAGCGCCAAATGGACGCTTTGTCAGAGTTTGTCGTGCAGTCGCCTCCTTTCATGTCGGTATTCTAGTCGACATTATTTCTTACCCTTAGGCCTTCTTTCATCATGAGGCCATCTACAGTCGCTACCGTATCTGTACTGTCCACATTATCCATTGCATCTCCTATGGTCAGACGGGACACGAGCGCACAGTATTTCGAGCCATGCGCTGTCGTGTCCCATCTTGTTGCGGTGCAGAACAGCACTGTGCGTGCCCTCCAATCACCACTATTACCCGAACCGCGAGGCTAAACGCGAGAGTAGAGAGCGACGATTCCAGCCCAAGCGGCGTGGGACTGTCTCCAAAGCGTGCCACTGAACAAGACGGCTGCTTTGGACCTGCTACGTTCTATCAAGCCGTTTGTTCGATGGCAGTCAACGCTGGCCAACCTGGCGCACCCACCCGCAGAGTACAGCGCTATCCAGCCAGCTTTCGATCCGATCAAGGCGATGGAAGATATAGAGCGAAATCTGAAGAACGGTGAGTTTAACCAATACGACACAATCAGTTGCCCAACACGGATCTGGATGCGCTGGAGGGAATCGCTGCGTCGCGTTTGGCATTCGTTGCACAGCTATGGCCGGTCACGATCCAGAAAACATGGACTTTTGTAGTCTTGGTCGGCGAGCTGATGCTCCATACAGATGCCTGGTCAAAGGAGTACGACTTTGGAATAGCTCTGTACGAGGCTTTTCATGGCGCACATGATGGGCACTTCTACTTCACGCCGGACATCGTAGGCGGGGTCTTCAACTGGGCGCGTCCTATCCCACTCGTCTCAGTCTCCTCCGACGGCGAGGCGATCCCGGCGCCTTTTGCCTACTCCGACATCTTGGCTGCATCTCAGGGCAATGCGTCCTTCACGCCCTCTGCCATTGTCAAGATCAACGGTCAAGACGCGACGGACTTCTTACTGAATCTTTCGCAGCAGGGGTCGCTGCAAGACAGAGATGCGTTGTACAATCTACTCTTCTACAACCTAGCCCAAATCTCGCTGGGCAGCCAGGGCAGTGCCACGGGTATGTTCTCTGGCGGTGGACGTGGAAGGCTAAACTATCCGGGACCAACTACGGAGCTTGAGTTTGCAAACGGAACGAAAGCAAGCTTTACCAACACTGCACGTGTGTTGGTCGATTTCACGGGGATCCAGACAGGCACAGATCTGTAAGTGTGTCCTCACATTTCGGGCTTGCGTTCTGAAAATTGGATGGGCCGGCTATGCTGGCTGTTTTCTGTGTGGTTTCTGTTGCTGACGTGACTACGAAGGTACCAAAGGTACTTTGCATGGGGCGATCTTACTGTGCATCTAGATCAAATTAGCCCAAACTCAACAGCCCCTTATGGACCACCCAGCATGTCTCCGCAACCAACAAGTCCTGTATCAAGCAGCACACCAACGAGCACGCCAGCGCCAGGATATCCAACACCCGTGATCCGACAGACCAACAACCTCATCGGCGGATACTTCCTTGAGGGTGAGGGAGTGGATGATGTGGCCGTCCTCTCGGTACCATCCTTTGTAAGCTTGGATACTGCTGAGCAGGACTTTCAGCAGGTCGGCGAGATATTCTTGAAGGATGCTAAAGCAGCAGGTAAGAAGAAACTGATCATCGACGTGTCCGCCAATGGGGGTGGAACTATCTTACAAGGCTACGACCTATTCAAGCAGCTATTCCCATCCGTTGAGCCTTACGCTGCAGCCGACCGAATCCGGGCAACCGAGTCTGTGAAGTTAATCGGCGAAGTGTAGGTCATGTGTAGAATTTTTGGCTTCGCAGATTTTTAACTTTGCGGCAGATACTCTGAGTTTGCAGGCAGATATCCTCGCGACCTCAACCAATCCGTCGCCGTCGTTGGGATCGAAGCTGATGTGATGAACTATCGTTCCGACCTTGTCGCCGACACAGGCAAGCACTTTGACTCATGGACACAAAAGTTTGGCCCTGAAGCGCACCAGGGTGACTACTTCAGTTCGCGCTTTCGGTGGGACCTTAGCGATCCACTAATCCAGTGGAACTCAGGTGGGATCAACATTCATGGATATGGTCCTCTCGCCTCCGCAACCAACAACCCCCAGCCCTTTGAGGCGGACAACATCGTTATTCTGTATGACGGGTACTGCGCATCAACGTGTACCATATTTTCGGAGCTGATGCGCCAACTGGGCCATGTCAAGACGGTCGCCATTGGCGGACGACCTAACACGAACCCTATTCAGGCCGTCGGTGGCACGAAAGGCACGAATGACCTGCCCTGGGACTATATCCAGAGTGAAGTCGAGTCTGCCTTTAACTACTCGACGCCTGCACAGCACGACCGCCTGCTCAAGTCGGAGCTCATGGAGTACAACAGCTACCTGCCCTTCTACAGAGCGGTTGGCGGCGCGACGGCGATCAACTTCCGTGACGGCATTCGCAAGGGAGACGAGGAGAATATGCCGCTGCAGTTCAGATACGAAGAGGCAGACTGCCGCATCTTCTACGAGCCCGCTCACGTAGTGGATGCAGCGGCCATGTGGAAAAAGGTTGCTGACGTGCGGTGGAACGGTGGCAAGTGCGTAGCGGGAGGGTTTGGAGATGAGATCGACGGTGGCAAGGTTACCAAGCGAGCTCCAGAAATGAGCGTAGCCGTGGAAATGGCCGGTTTGGGCCTACCTCCCGAGCAAGTGCAGGCTCTGAGAAAGTCGTTTGATCTGGATACGGATCCCGTGCTGGGACGGAGAGCTGACGGCTTCATGTATCCGTAATCCATTCGTCAAGTCGCTTGGCCAAGGCCGGGTGATATCGGCTGTCCATTATCCATGGCTACGTCAAATCCTAGCAGCAGGAATTTCTCATGTCGCGTACTGTTGCGCTGTGTGCCATTTTATCATCATAAGGGCTGTTTTTGATGACGACCTGTCACGCTCGGCGACCCGGCTAGTGAGAAGCTGACGACAGCAGCCACGATGCAACACTGTAGATGACCCCGGTGAAATATCTCTTACAGTTGCTTAATTCTCAAGATGTAGCTGCAGACGGAGAGAGTTCCTTGGACGAACCAAGAATCAGTGATAAGATAGGAGATAAAAACAAAATTCGTGTGGGGGTATTGTACGTCTGCTTCAAGCTTGCACATGCAAAATCTCGCGATAACTTGATTGCCTGAAGATTACTACCAGTTATTGGCTTGTACCACTCCCAACTACCTCGCCTATCTGGTCATCTTAGATCCTAATCAAGCACTACATTAGCCTTATCAAGACATGACATCTACTGACGGACACCGTCAAAGCTAAGAAGCACAGCGTTACCGGGATACTGACCCAGATAGCTCATATGCTCTGACAGGCACAGTCATATTGAACTCGGCAAAAATACTCCCCGCTCAACTCCAGTATGTTGCTTAGGCTTGCACCGCCATACCTTGCGGTCTGCTTAGTCGCTTGATTTTCGAGGTGCTGAACATGGTGTTGGTTGAGATAGAGGGACGTCTCGTTGGTCGCGTGAGTAAACTCAGCGCTGCTTACCTCGATGCTCGTCAATCCCCATTTGTTTGTCTATCCGCCATGTTTGGCCGTCTCGGGGCATTACGAGCGTTGGGGAAAGGCCGAGGACAAGGCTGTCGACGCTTTTACCATAACATCCTCTCAAGTTGCCGTCCAGGGACAGATTTCCAGCCACGTTTGTGAACAATTTGATATCGAGAAATCTCTCTCGATCGTCGGCGGATGACCGTGTCATTCCTGTTAGCCGTCTGAACCGTCTGTCCGCCGCCTTCGATTGGCCGTGCTGCTCATAACTTCCTCATTCGTCCTGCTACCTCAGCCGTATGTCCGCAAGCAGCGTCCAGCCGTTCATAGACTCGAATCGGTCGGAAGCTTTGGGACCAGAAGGAGAATCGCGCTCTGACGGCTTAGGCTTGCTCACGTTTACACAGCCATGGTCAGGCTTACTTTGCCATTGCTTACGGTACTCGCCTGTGTTTGCTCGCGTTCGTAAACAGTAGGACGCTTTGTGTGAGGTCCCTTTGCAACCTCATGTTATGTGCTACTCTCTGCGCCTGGAGCTGGCGACTGGGCGAGCTTGGCGAGGTGAGAGCAGCCATCAGACGAGGGGCAGGGCACGAGCTGGGCGGGAGTGGCCGCCCAAGGAATAGGGGCCCCCCGCCTATTGTTTAGCGCCTTGCCGTCACCACCGCGGCCACGGCCAGACCGTTGCGACGCCAAAGTCGGGCTGTGGAACGCCTCCTCCCCATACGCAAGCTAACCGCATGTGTCGCGTGTAACGAACAAGTCTCAAACGCCTTTTTTCAACTGTCACCGTTTGTTCGTCAGCTTATGCTTGTCCATGCAAGCCACCGTCCACCCTCCAAGTCGGAGCGTGAGCAATTGCCTGCGAGACGTACGCCTTTCTTAAAGCACACGAATTCCTCCTTCAAAGATCTGACGCAGGCTGAGAATCATCCTCCCCGCCTGACTTCAGCCCTTCAGCCCGGTAGGCTTCCCTTTCCTCTTTGTTCGATCCTCGTCTTTCTCAAACGCGTCTTTTGAGGCTAGGGAACTGACATAAGCGTGAGATCTGCACCGTCTGTTCCCCGCTCTAGATTGACCACAGCTTATTCTGCTGTTTCTCGTGCTCCTCCACGCATTCTTTATCGATAAGGCTGCCCGCTCCTCCCCCAGTGGCTGCCGACAGCTGCGACACGAGGCACAGCACGAGTGCTAGTCCTGAAATCAGCCGGGAAGCCAAACCCGCTTGAAGGAAGAAGGAAAAGCAACGAGGCCGACGAGCGAAGGGAGAAAGTTTGTGTGTCAGCGTGAGTGGGGAACAGAAAGAGGCGACCACACGTTTCGACCCTTCCCGTAGTCAGACCTGCACCAGTCTCTCGGAAGGAGAAAACAAAATCCATAAGAGAGGAAGTCAGCAAGAAGGACATTCCGACCATGGCCATCGACGAGCAGCTGCGCGCCCAGCTCGACGCCATCTTCGACCGCGTGTACGTGCCACAGCCCGGCGCCGGCTTCACCTTTCCGGAGACGGTCACGAAGCTGTACGAGTTGGGCGTGACGAGATACCGCGTCGACTTTGTCACCAGCACCACGACGGCGTACATTGGCGGCCAGGCGCACTCGTACCATTTCCCAAGCTACGCGCCCGTCATCGAGATTGCGTCTCCGGCCACGCCCGTCAAGCCCGTGCCTCTCTCCGCGATCCTAGGCGGCGAGCCGACCAGCGACAGCTCGTCGCCGCAGTCTCCCCCGCGCAGCCCGACCACAACCACCACGGGCTCACTCGTGTCGCCGCTTTCCCAGACCCTGGCCATGGAGCTGGAACAGCCCAACGGGCAACAGCCCGGTGACCAGCCAAGGTTCGACGCGAAGCCTCACCCGCCGTTGACCATCAACACGCTCGTGCCGGGCATGATCCCCTGGAGCCTGGAGAAGCTCCGCATGGCCATCAAGAAGGCGCGCGAGGATGCCAAAAACCTGAAGCCCGACCTGCCCACGTACACGCGCCAGATCATCGAGGCCGGCGTCGTCGACTACACCGTCTTCATCGAAGGCCGCAAGGTCATGTACACCGGCCGCATGGGCGAGGCGTATTCGGCCTGGTTCATGGGCGCCGGGCCGGACGCGCCCATCAACAAAGGCTACAGCCCTATACACAAGACGCCTCTGATACGGCGGAACACGCTGCTGGGATAGACAGCCTGTAATCGCCTTCTCTCTCCTTTAAGTTTCTCCACGCTGTATTCATACTTCTTCCCTCTTTCCTTGGTCCGGCGGGGTGATGAACTGCATGTAACGCGAATGACGATGTATAGATAGACCTATTCTATTGCCCTTTCCTTATTTTGATTTGTGTACGTTTCGCGCGTGATTTTGCGCGTTCTTCGTTGTACAACCTTGACTACTCTTTGGTGACGTGTTTGTTTGACCTTTTTTGACTGGGTATCTTTGAACGTCTACATGCAAGAGAAAAAAAAAATTTATTTTACAACAAGGGATTTTACGCTCGCCTTGCCACAGGCATGTTCTTCCGTTCCCGCGCGGCAAGCTTCTTCCTCCGCCGCTGGATCACCTTGTCCCTTTGTCTGCTCTTCATACTTTCAAAGCGCTCCTTCAGCGCCTGCTTCTTGATTTCGCTTCTCTTCAGGTAGAACGGCGTCTTGCCTTGCGCCACAGCTTCTCTCTCTTTCTTCTTGTGCTCCCGCTTCACCTTCTCCTCTCGCTCCCGCGCCTCGTTTGCCGCCATCTTCGACTCCAACGACACGATCTTGCGCTGTAGCGTCTCCCGCTGCTCGGCGGTGAGTTTCGTCTTGTGATCCTTCAGCGCGCTCTTGAGCGTGCGTAGTTCGTCGGCTTGATACTCCTTGAGAAAAGAGTAGCGCGCTTTGATGGCGTTGCGGTCCAGGTGTCCGGACGTCGGGTCGAAGCGAGGGTCGCGTGACTTGACGGTGGCGACGTCGACGACGGTGCGGTACCGACTGACGGCACGGTTCGCTGGCAGAACTGTGGGCGCGTGTTTCGAGGAGCGCTTGGGCTTTTCGCCCCCGGCGCCACTGGACGCATCCGACTCGCTGCTTCCATCGGTCTCAGACCCGGATTCATCGCGTTCGCTGTCGTCTTCCCCAAAGAAAGCGTCGTGCCGCTTCTTAGACGACGCCCGCTTCTTCGCCTTCTCTTCCTTCTTCGCCTCGGTCCGACCTTCGCTCTTCTCCCTGAGCTCCCGGAGCCTCTCTCTCAGAGCGGCAAGCTTGCTTTCTTGCTCTGAACTCGTCTCCGTCTCGCGCTTCCTCTTGCGGCTCCCAAGCGCGCTCTGTGCTTTTGCTAGTGTCCCAAATGATATCCGACTCAATTGGCGCCGGGCGTCTTCTTCCTCGTCTGGCCCAATTGAGGTAGCCTCGCTTTCCGAGCTCGAAGAGCCATCTTCGTCGTACTCTTGGCTGGCACGTCCAGTCGAGTCGCTGTCGTTTGGGTCGGCACCGTCGCCTTCACTTGCAGTCTGCGGCTCCCCCTCGGAAAGTTCAAGTCGAGATGCACGATTTTCGTCTTTGCTTCGTGACTTCTCAGCCTTAGGCAAAAGGGACATCGTGTCCGTGACGTGATGCGTTCTGGTTTGGCTTGAAATTTAAATTTTCTGGGGTTTAACGTGAGTTAGCGATATTATTTTCGGAACTGCACGTGCGAACGCGCTAGGCTTTATCGAATTTAGATGATGACGTTGCGGTGCCTCAAACTGTCCTCTAGAAATAGCTGCTGGTTCTCCGCGTAAACATCAGAATCGCGAGATCTGCAGGCGTTGGGGTGCTTTGTTTGTAGTCATGAGCTGGCGGTCTAAAGAAAGTTGAGGTCGTGTTCAAATAGCGAATATAGTCACACCCTTGCGCTCAAGCCGTAATTCTACGTACACGCAGCTAATCATCGAAACACGTAAGGTATGGTCCGTTACGTCGCGTTAGCCCTTCACCAATGGGCTTTGATTTGTGCTTGTCGAACTTAAATCTGAATTTTCCGTTTACCAAGATTCCATCGCTCTCGATGGGAACGTGAAGTCGTTACGCATTAGTGCTCAAGAAACCTAAGGGAACGGTTTGCACGAAGAGATGATCGTTAAAATGTACAGCCGCTTAACAATTGCGAACTGGCGAATTGGCCATGAATGTTTTTAGATAGCCCATGAGACAGATAACTCAGTTGTGTTCCTTCAGAACTTATTGATTTATTGTCTTCGAGGCCAATGCGGTGAGTTCCTACACCGGACCCAGTCGAGGAACGAGAACTTCAAACGAAATAGCGAAGTTTTAGATACAGGTTTGGGGCGTACGGTTCATAGAGTGTTGTCTCTGCTTGGACCTGGTCATGATTCGGCGCGTGATCTTTCTCTTGACTTCCGACGCCGAGTTTGATTTCACAAACCAGGAGTTCATTCAAAACATGTGCGACGCACGCATGCGAATCTACATTTATTGTATGCTCGGCTTGGCTGATCATTTCAAACATGGTTCGGGATCGTTGGGAGGTGCCACAGTGTGCCTTCGACGGCAGCAGCCAGGGCGAAGTCCGCAACGTCTAGCCGTGAATTCTCAAAATTATCTTCATCTGCAGTCAGCCCAGGCAGCGAGTGCAGCTCAACGTTTGCTCCACGTTCTACTAGCGGATGGTGGCTCTGCATTTCCTCTGCTCCCACGTCCGATTCGGCATACAGCTGAACGACTTTAAGCGTATAGGGCCTGTCGATCTTCAAAAAGCAGTCGATATGCGAAGCATGCACCTGTTGCAGCTTCGGCAAGGTTCGTAGAACGATCAGATGCTGGAGATCAGGGAGCGCACGTTGGAGGATGGAGAGAAATAGTTTACACCAGTCAGGCCATGTAGGCCACGGGATCGCCAGTTTTTTAAGGCCGCGAAATCTGCTCCACCAAAATAGCGGATTGTCAATCGTCCACCCTTCGGCAAGATGCCAGATGTCCCTCATATACACCAGTTCCTCCAGTCTTTCCAAACGCGCGAGCCCGTCTCGTAGGTAGCGATACACGCCAAGATGATCGTGAGACACAGAGAGACTGCCAAACGGCAGGTCAAAAGTCAGACGTTTGAGATACGGCGAGACAAGACACAATAGCTCGAAGATCCAAATGGCAGCGGGCAAGTCGTCCAGCTTCGAGGAGAGCGGGGCGAGGTACATGCTTGTGATGTACGACAGATACTTGCAACTTGATGCGGCGCCTCCATCTTCGTCGCCGTTGCGCTTGTCTGGAGGACTGACTGTTCGAACGAGCAACATCAGCGTGCGCTGAGAGTCAATGTACATGCAATGGCTGTACAGATAGCGAGTGGCAACTGCGTTGGTAGCCTTGGACACGAGCAGCCACTGCTGGAGCTGCCGTCGTCGCCAATCGCTTGGGTGCAGTGCCACGGGCACAGTCGGTCCGAAGTCCACCAAGGCATCGATAACTCGAAGGACGATCTCGAATGGCAGGTGAACCATGGCTGCGACAGACGACCTGGGCCACGGCGTGTGGGACGCGGGCGTGTGGAGGATCCCAATTGAGCCGCGCGTGGCGTAACGCGAAGTGCGTGTGAAGCGATCGTATGACGTCTGGCAATGCTCAACTACGTAAAGGCATGCAAGATGGAGATTAAGGTCAGAATCGCATGTCGTCGTCGCAAGCGCTTCTGGGAGATCGGGCGAGAAACGCCGATCGGAGTGCCACAGGGGGGTACAAGTAGGCAGTATACGTACCCCTGCAGGGCTGGAGTTCTAAACTCCAAGTCGTCAGCAATCATCGACGCCGCATCCGATCAATCCACTCAACTCCGCTGTCTCAAGCACAGGCCACTCTCTCTGCATATTCAGATCGTGTGGCGGTAAGAGAATCGTCTGACCGTCTTTTCGTCACCTTCTGTGGCAGGATGGAAAAGCACCCGTCAATGGTACAGCAAGATGAACGTCGGCGTGCGCGATCAGGTCGTCATGAACGGCCAGGGCCCTCGCGTCTCCATGCTTGGAATACGCTTCAGCAATAACGGCACGAGTGCCTGTTTGCCGATCTGGGTATGTTCTCCTTGGAATGACTGCATTAATGGACTGCCGTGCTGATGTTGAGGGCAGGATTCAGAGGCTGCCAAATTCTCTGACTGTGCCTTGCCCTTCATCTCGGCGATCCCCTTCGCCCTTGCGGGTATCGTGGGTTTGGTTTCTGTCTTGAACCAGGCTCTGGCGGGCTGGAGGCCAGAGTGGACGAAGCCTTTCATCATCGAGTACGCCGACCGCGTGGATGAAAGTCCACGAAAATCGTACCGGAGGCCGCTCCTCTGGATCTTGATTCTGCTCACTCTGACACTCGTTGGACTGCTGGCTTCCACTCTTGAACTCATCTTTGACTCGCACCAAGTTGCATCCATCTTCTTGTTGGCATCCTGGGCAGTCACGTTGCTCATAATCGCTATTACACAGCCGCAAACCTCGCCATCGTTTCTGTCATCGATCTACCTTGCCATCTTCTCTGTCGAGCTATTAAATGTGCTCAACGTGGGGTGCTCGTTTGGAGGACATGTTGCTCATTACATTGCATTTGCGTCGGCGTCCGCATCCATCGTCATAATATTAATCATGCATCTTCGCGACCCTAGCTTGCCTTTGGATGGCATCAGCTCTGTTGGAGACATTCCAAGCAGCGATACTCGCAGTCCAGAGGACAACCTTCGCCTTTGGCAGTTTCTTTCTATTTCTTGGATGTTCCCACTCATCCGAGTAGGGAGGAAGCGAACCTTGAACGAAGAGGACGTCTGGTTTTTGGCTTATGAATTCCAGCATCGACGACTTTTCGAAAAATTTTCATCTTTGTCTGGTACGGTTGTAACGCGGCTCCTTAAAGCCAATGGTTTGGACATTTGCATCCTGACCATCTCTGCATCCGTGGAAACTGTGTGCAGTATGTATTGTCGACCGTTTTTTTTCGAGCATGCTAACGATGGCCCAGCCTACCTGGCGCCGGTAGTGTTGCAACAGCTTTTGGCAGCAATGGAAAATCCTCATGCGCCAAAACGTGCAGTCCTAACCTATGCGCTTATCATCCTAGCCTTAAGACTCATTGCTGCGCAATCAGAAGTATTCAACACCTGGTTTGGGCGCCGCTGCTATGAGAGAAGTCGAGGCGAGATGATCTTGATGGTATATGAAAAAGCTCTCTCTCGTAAGAATGTCATCGGCATCGACCCGGAATTGAATGAAAGAGAAGATCAAGCCGGAAATAATCTGTCTGACACGAACGGCTCTTTGAAGAGGAAAACTACAGCAGCCTCAAAAGTCCTCGCATGGCTTGATCCAAGGTGGTTCATTTCGAGACGTGGTCACAAACACTTCAAGGTTACCACTGAACCCAAAGCTCCGGCCAGTATGGGGAAAATTCTGAATCTTTGTCGCGGAGATGTTTACGAGGTGGCCCAGCGTTTCTGGGAGATTGAAAACATGGTTGAAACAGGGCTTGGGTTGGTCCTGGCAATTGCGCTTGTGTGGAAATTGCTAGGGCCTTCTTGCTTCATCGGTATACTTGTCGTGATTGTCGGCCAGATACTTAACGCAATATTTACCAAAATTCAGCTGCAGATTATCAAAAGATCACGAGGCGCAACAGATGGCAGGTTACAAGTCACATCACAGTATATCGAGAGCATACGACACCTACGATGGTACTCGTGGCATGAGAAATGGCTCAATCAGATTCACCAAGCAAGAGAACACGAGCTTTGGCTGCGAGTTCAGACAATGATGTGGTCTTCGATTATGAATTTCACCAACATGCTCACGAATGGACTATTTCCAGTCGCCGCATTGTATGGTTACACTGTGCTCGCAAAGCATACCCTGAGCATCGACATTATTTTTCCAGCTTTGACACTGTTCAGCATGCTAGCGTCAAATCTGAGGGACATCCCTCAGATCATCACTCAGCTAGCGAACGCCTATATCTCAATGTCAAGAATTGAGGATTTTATGAAGGAGCCCAACCGCGAAGATAACGAAGCTCGAGATTCTCCACCTGACGCCCCAATGCAGCTTATTGACTGCAGCTTTGCCTGGCCGGATCAAATTGAGCCAGTTCTTCGCCACCTCAACCTTCGTTTTGACCAGGGATTTCATGTCATCCACGGCAAGGTCGGCGCGGGCAAGTCTGCGCTTCTACAGGCGTTGATGGGCGAGCTCGACAAATTATCGGGGACGACACATTTGCCTGATGAGATGATAGGTTATTGCAGCCAAACGCCGTGGCTTCAAAGTATGACGATTCGTGAAAATATCCTCTTCTCTGCCCCCTTTGACGAATGGCGATATCGAAACGTTCTCGATGCATGCGAACTGCTCCCTGACTTCGCAAGCTTTGAATACGGCGACCTATCACCTATAGGCGAAAATGGAATTGGTCTGTCTGGTGGTCAAAGGGCCCGCGTTGCATTGGCTCGTGCCGTCTACAGTCAGGCAAGAATCCTTCTCCTCGATGATCCAATCTCAGCGCTTGATTTCAACACGGCAGAGAACATAGTTTCGAAATGCTTTGATGGACCTCTCATGAAAGATCGGATCGTTATCTTGGTCACGCACCGAGTAGATCTTGTCCGTCACCTTGCCATTCAGCTCGTGGAGATCGTGGATGGTGCTGCTCTGGCCTCTAGCAATGAAGCCAGTATTAGCGATGTCGATACTTACCAAGTATTGAATGGCGCAAAGTTGAACGATCACTCCCCCGAATTCACAAAGGCAATGGACGATCAGGCTATACCAAGAAAATTTGAAGATGACGAGCAGCGCGCAGAATTTGGTGTCAAGGCACGAGTTTATTGGCAATACATCAAGTCAGGAAAGATCAAGTGGTGGATTATGACTACGATCTCTCTAGCCGTCTGGCGAGTTTCGGTTGTTGGTCAGACATGGTTCTTAAAGAGCTGGGGTGAGGCTTATCATCAAGAGTCGCATAGTTTCCTTCTGCAAACGGATGCTGTTGAACGTGGAATTTTGCAATCATACGCTATACATAGTATGAATGCGATGGAATCGAGTCTGGATCCATTTCACGCATTGCCTTCTCCGGAAGACAATGTTAAACCCTGGCTGTTGATGTACCTGGGCGTTGCAAGCTGGATCTCACTAACTGCGTGGCTAGCGCAAATCTTCCTAGTTGTTGTGATGTACACCTCGGCAAAGTCTCTATTCTCAAGAGCAATTACTAGAGTTAGCCAGGCTACTTTCCGCTTCTACGATGTTACACCTGTTGGCCGACTTATGAACCGCCTCACTTCGGACATAGGCACTATAGACGGTGGCATCGCTCAACAATTCCATGTCATCACATTTCAAGCCATCACCTGGATGACATCGCTCGCGGTCATTGCTTCGGTCACACCAACATTTTTGGCATTCTCCATTGGTTATGTAGCCTTCACTATTTGGATCTTTAGCATGTTTCTGCCGACATCACAGAGCCTGCGACGACTCGAGATGACCTCACTTAGTCCCTTGTTTGCAAACTTCGGTGAACTTCTGCATGGCCTCACAACTGTTCGCGCATTCCATGCCCAGCACCGCTTTCTTAACCGCATCATCACCGTAGTTGATAAATTTCAAGGCATGGACCACTTCTACTGGACTTTACAGAATTGGCTCGCGTTCAGACTTCAAAACATGTCGGCGATCTCGACTTTCATTCTCACCGTGTTAGCTTTGTATACCAATGTATCACCTGGCCTTACCGCTTTTGTTCTCACTGCAGCTGGTAACTTTGTTCGTTCAACACATACCTTGTGTCGACGATTCGGCTCTTTGCAGATGGATTTTGTGTCTGTGGAGCGAGTGGATGAGCTTTTGAGACTGGAAAAGGAGCCATCTGGGGAAATCGAACCTCCTGCTTCATGGCCTTCATATGGTGCAGATATTGTCTTGGAGCACGTCACTGTCCGGTATGCTCCACATCTTGAGCCTGCCTTGAATGACATCTCAATTCGCATCCCCGGCGGCTCAACTACGGCAGTTTTGGGCCGCACGGGAAGCGGAAAATCTACACTGGCAGTGACTCTCCTCAACGTCGTCCGGCCCGAGACGGGCTCGATCACCATCGACAAGCTAGACATTAGCACTGTTACTAACAAAGCTTTGCGCGAGCGCGTCACATTTGTCGCTCAAGATCCCGTCTTATTTCCCGGGAACATCAGGCACAACTTGGATCCCCTCGAGTATCACTCGGATGAAGAATGCAACGAGGTACTTCAGCGAGTATGTGGTCGGCATGGATGGACGTTAGAGACAAACATTGAAGCTGGTGGTCGAAATTTAAGTCAAGGACAACGTCAACTGATTGGATTGACCCGAGCAATCCTGAGGCGAAGTTCAATCGTCATCTTAGACGAAGCAACCGCCTCGATTGATTATGAGAGCTCAATGGAGATTCAGCAGATTCTGAGAGAGGAGCTTAAGGAGGCAACAGTCATCACGATTGCGCACAGATTGGAAGCTGTGAGAGATGCAGATTACGCCATTCTATTAGACAAGGGTCGAGTTTCAAGACAAGGGCCTGCAAAGGATATGCTCATTGATGACGAAGATGGCAGCGAGACTACAGTCGAACAATGTTAGCTGGCTTTGCGAGACTTTGCATGGACAAAACGTTTCTCCTTTTCGAAGTTTTCCTTGTCATTTTTTTCTCTGCCCAACCATCATCCATTACTTGCCTACGCACTTCGACCTTTGATATGTGTACTAACACGATAACATCTCGTGCTGTCGGTGCTGTTTTCCACAGTTCTTGTCGTGGGTTGAGTTGCGATTTAGTCTGCATTGTAAGGCAAAACTCAAACCTGATGTACTCGAAGCTTTTTCTTGAAGCCAAGCTTCTCGACATTTTACGAGATTCGAGACAACCTGATCGTACGAGCTATTGCATACACAGTGGACAATACGTGGAGAAGCTGGAGCTTCACCATGGCTGCAAAAGTCGCCGCCTGTGTTTGGCGTGATTAGTGGTACACTACCTCCTGAGCACCTTCATTTCACAATTGTTTTTTCGAAAAAGAGTGGCAAATTCAGAAGGGCTACTCAGTACTACGGATTTCATCGGCATGCGCCTTTACATCGTTTCGTCTTTCAGAAGCTCAAGGATCTTACAAGGGACAGAGAGGACCACGACGACGTTAGATTAGATCGGAAGTGTCGTTGATCGATAGATCTGAGTGTGCGAGCTTGCAACAAGATGATTAAGAAATTCTGAGCATGCAAGTTACCATGTTGAGTTGAATCCGTCGGTGAAAGCAAGGTGCCAAATAATGTTGAACTTTGCTAACTAATTAAAAGAGGAATTCAATATTAGCCACGGTGCAAACGTAGTTGTCACAACTAGGGGAACAAACCGCATAAACACTCGTGAGATTGAGAAACTTTTTCTTTTAGAGAGAAACACGTGCGTTCTGTTGTTTTACACAAATTGTAGCTGGTTCTGAACCGACTCTAATCCCAGATCGACTCTGACGGTGGATTATTGATCAGCAGGCTATGCCCGCGCTGATTCGACGCAACAGGCGCTCAAGTGCGTCGCTGAATTACTATCGAGCTACACCCATACAATGAGAAATTGAAGCTGGAACTTTGGCTGACATCAGACGCAGGTTGCACTGCAGAGTCAGGTCAAGTCGAGGCAAGCCTCAGCTAAGCTTGTTAGGCGGCCTGGCCATGTTTTGTGAAGTGTTCGTTCCCCGTCCCCCCCCCCCCCACCTCTCGCCCCAACCTTCTTTTCAACGTGACGGAGGAGAGGAGCAAGAGTCCCGCCCTGGTCAGGATTAATATACAAAAGCGTTGCGTTTCGCGTCGCGAAGCCAGTGTCTCCGAGCTCATCGGTGTTGCGGCCTCGATTTTGTGTCGCCGGTCAACTCTGCAGCGGTCCAGATGAATTGTGCCTGAAGGCTCGGAAAGCTTCAAAAAGACCAGTTGCCCTTCTGCACAAAGGCGCGTGTCCGCGCCGATATTCGAGATGAGTTATGGTCGGGTGCTGACTCAATCGCAGCTGAAGCCAAATAACTTGATTGTCCGTCTAGGCTCACTGTCGAACGTCAGCCCGTCCCGACTCTCCATCGCTTAGCCAGGTCTAGGATGGGGTCCTTTCTGTCCTTCGTAAAGCGAGTATATCGCGTGTTCTACCCCCTAACCGTGCCGAAGAGCCAGGACGCTCTCCGATTCGGCATCCTTGGAGCGGCCAACATAGGGTGCGCGCTGTGTGCGCCTCACGAGTTGAATTGCGGTTTCTGACACGTAGCCTGTAGCCCTCAAGGACTCATACTGCCGGCAAAGTCCCATCCGGAGGTGATCGTGGCTGCGGTTGCCGCGCGCGACGTCAAGAAAGCCGAGGAGTACGCGAAGAAGCACGGGATTCCTATCGTGCACAAAACGTACGACGGTGAGGACGAGTCCGTGTCGTCACAATCCGTTGAAGACTGACAGATTCGTCGTCTCGACAGACTTGATCAACGATCCGAGCATCGACTGCATCTACAATCCTCAGCCCATCGGTTTGCACTACGAGTGGACTCTTAAGGCCTTGAAAGCCGGAAAGCATGTCTTGCTGGAGAAGCCGTCGGTGTCGAACGGCGAAGAGGCCAGATCTTTGTTCCGACATCCGGTGCTCTCAAAGCAAGATGCTCCCGTCTTGCTGGAGGCATTCCACTACCCCTTCCATCCTGCATGGCAGACATTCCTGACACTCTTCGACCCCGCGGATGTCGAAGAAGTCGTCGTCACAAACGTTTTATTTGCCGGAGTCTTCCCGCTGGACGACATCCGGTTCATCTACTCGCTCTCGGGCGGGACACTGATGGACTATGGCACGTATGCCGTTAGCTGCGTCCGCGCAGTTTTCGCCGCGGAGCCCACGCTCGTTCGAGCTGCTACTTATCGACCGATGCCCAATGGATACGACCAGAAGTGCGACGAAGCCTTCTATGCAGAGTACGAGTTCCCGAACGGCGGCGTCGCGAAGATCACGACGGACCTGCAGGCCAGGGGAGGCTGGTGGTTTCCCTCGCTGACGGCAAACTGGCCTAGGCCAGTGGACCCGGTCCCGACGCTGCGTCTGACGCTGAGGGCCAAGGACGACGGTCTCGAGGGCGACTTCCAGAAGCGGTCGCAAAAGACGATCTTCTTTTACGGCTACATGGGACCCCACTTGTATCACCGGATCGACATCACCACCACCACCGAGCTCAGGAACCCGCAGGACGGGAAGGTCGTGAAGACGAACGCAAGCACCGAGCGTAAGAAGGTGTACAAATGGCCGCCCGGTTCGGATAGACGGACAGGCGAGGAGTTTTGGTCGACGTATCGATATCAGCTCGAGGAGTTTGTCAACCGGGTCAAGAAGAGGCCGGGTTCTGGCGTGTGGATCGAGCCGGAGAACTCAATGCGACAGATGGAGATGATCGATGCTACGTATCTTAAAGCGGGCCTACCAACAAGACCCACGAGTAAGGCACTCGAGCGTTGACTGGTGCCAGAAATAAGCGCACAAATCTGCGAGTCGATTACTGCTTTGGAGGAGCAGATTTGTGAAAGGTGCGTTCTCTTCGTTGATCTATGGTGTCTCTGCTCGGCGATCAAGGCTTTCTACTGTTCGAAAATTACGAATCTCATGATCAAGTTCTTTCAAAGGACTTCCGTTGAATGAAGATGAGGAGAAGAAAGAAAAATGAGGGGGGAGAAAAAGTAAGAAAATCGTGTGGTAAAATGGGATGTAAGTTTTAAGCGTACTTTTGCTTCCGTGTGCGAGTAGTATACAAACACGCGCAGTGGTCTGTCAACGAGATTTAAATTGTTTGGCGATACAATACAGAAGGCGGATGAAGAGGCTCCTCGCAGGACAATGTCTACCCCCAAGCTATTCAATGGAAAATTGACTTACGCATATGTCGTTTGCTTTACTGCTTAACGGTGACCTTCTCGCCAATCGCTTTCTCGGCCTATTCCTTACCCCAATTTAGTATGGGGCTAGGGTTCGCCCTTTGTATCCCCCCCACAGTCATCTCATCTTTTATAACCACTTGATATGGGTTGTTTTGGACCATTAAAAAGGCACATGGTGATCAGATCCAACGGATGGTGAAAGGCCACATCCACCATATTTCAAACTTGACTTCCTACCAGCTTTTAAATAAGCTCTATTTTCATGTATTGCGATCATGAAACACCCACGCAGGCTTCACAGGTGCAGTCCTTATGTCGTTCAACCCAGAAGCAGTATTATTAAATCTAGGCATACGATTGCGTACATCAACACCACCGTAGCTGCGGAGAGAGGACGCACCGTCAAAGTCCGTAGATCAGGAGAAGTGAGGCATGGAGTGGGGAATGTGAAGCCGGAGGCCAGCACGGGCGAGGTGGGCATTTAGCGCTCCACGGCCAAGGACGGGACGAGGAGTCAAATTCAATGAACAGGCAAACGCTGGCACGCGGAGAGAGAAAAGGTGCTTGGGCCCGAGCATGCAGGCACGCTGGCGAGCATGAGCAACTTGGCGCTCGTGCTGCAACATCAGGGCAAGGATGAGGAGGCGGAATCGATGAATACGCAGACGCAAAGTAGCAGAGAGAGGGGTGGTAGGGACAGACCATCCAAACATACTGGTGAGCATGTACCGCTTCGCTTAACTTCTTGCAACCCAGCGCCGTTATACCAAAGCCAGTACTCTCTATAGAAGAAGCTTATACTGGATATTGTGCGGTACTGGGGGTTGGGTCATCCATTATGTATGCATGTCACGAGCACTATCCGCAGACGCTTGAACCTCAAATGAAAGTTGAAAACAAAAATAAAAAAAAAAAAAGGAAAAGGGAGGAAAAACAAGCACAGTGTCTGGTCAAACCGGATGTAAAACTTTTTTTTACCGTCCTTTCGCTTCCACATGCAAGCGGTATATGCGACGCGCACGACAGTCTATCAACGATACAAGAAAAGTCTTGCAAATAGCAGAATGTCAAAAATTTTCAAAGAAAGTTGGCGATACAACACAGGCGATGAATGAAGAGCTTCCTCGCAGGACAGAGTCTATACCCGATTTATTCGATGCCCAGACGGTGGACCCAAGCAATAAAAATAGAAAAATCGACTGCCCCAAACGCCGTTCGCTCTAATGCTTAGCAGTGACCTTCTCGCCGGTCGCCTTCTCGACCCATTCCTTAGCCCTGTGTGGTGTCAAGGTCAGCACTTCGTGTTACTTGCAAAACATCGCGGTAATAGCAGGATGCGGGAAGCGGGGAGGACGAAACATACACGTCACCAAGAGCAACCATGCAAATCGTCTGCCAAACGCCCAAGCCAATGCGGGGAGTGACGCCCCGGTAGAGGCCCTTCAAGCCGTTGGTCTTGTAGATGTACTGGAACGTGTTCGCCACCGTCATCTTCTTCGGTCGGTTGGGGTCCTCCTTCTTGCTCTGCATCTCGACGCGAATCACTTCGATGGGCTGGTTCCAGGCGGACAAACCACCGCCGAGCGCAGATGCCAAGATCTTCTCGGGCACAGCCAGCTTCTCACCATGCTCCTTGCCCGTCACCTTGCGAATGCCCGTCTCCGCCACGCGCGACAGACCGAAGCGTGAGCCCCAGTTGGTCACCTGGCGCACGGCGACGGCGTTGACGCCCTTGTTGATGCCGCGGATGCCCTCGGCGCGGTAGATGTTCATGAACGTCTCCATCGTGCCGGGGATGCGCTCGCCCGTCGCGGCCGCCTTGTGCTTGGTGATCTCGACCGTCTTCATGCACGTGCAGAAGCCCATGGTGGCGTACGCCTGCGCGAGACCGCCGACCATGCCGCCGGTGATGCCGCCGACAAAGGGCGTGGCTCCGAAGGACCGGGCGTAGTACTCGGCTTCGGAGGCGACGAAGAGGAGGACGGCGCCTTTGGTGGACGCTTCGATCCAGGCCTGTCAAGTGCACGCGTCAGCTGGGCATGTCTTTCGATTCGTAAGGCGTTACAAGAGGTGAAAGAGAGAGGGTGAGGCACGTGGAGGAACGGCGGTACGTACCCATGGGATGAGGCCCTGGTAGACTGCAAGAGGGAGGAGCAGAAAGTTAGCACACGCCGTCTAGGAATCCGCAGGAGAGGCGGAAGCAAGCTTACAGCCAAAGACGCCGCCACGGCCCCAGACCCTGCTAATCGCGCCAGCGAAGCCATCACTGCGGTGAGCAGCCATCGTGGTCTTGACAACCTCCAGAGGCTAGATAAAGACATTGTCAGCGAACGTGACTTTGGCTCGTCACACGGGCGATTCCTCGTCGTACCTGACCCAGTGTTGTAACCCTGCGAGGCACGAGACTGTCAGCTCAACGCATCCGGCGCGGAGTCGAAGCGCCGCTCGCGGCGCGGGAGGATACGTACTCGAACATGTTCAATCCGGCACCAACTAGAGGCCTGGAGTCAGCAGGGCGCTTGCAAGCCGGCGCGCGGGACAATGGCACGTACGCAGTAGGTTGCTGAACTTGACGGGCTTCTTCTCTAGCTTGGGAGCTTCGCCCATCTTCGTCGCTGGGATGGTGGACATCTGGCACAGATTGCTGGGATAAGGGGCCGGACCGAGGCAAGGTTGGGTAGGCGCAGCGAAGCTGGAGAGCTGTGGAAAAGCTGTTGGAAGGAGGAGCGGAGTGGAAAAGGGTTGGTTTTGTGTACGGGAGAGGTCGTCGACGAGCGGCAGGACGAGCAGCAACGAGGACGATTCTTTTGGGGACTGAGCCCCAAGGCGCCGGGTCCCAGATAGGCTTAGGGCGCCGGCCGTCTATTCTCGGTCGTTGTCGGGTCCCCTCTGGCAGCGCTCGTTGGCGCGCAGGGAGCCTTATCGGTGAGGCTGATGCCGGTGGACACGACGACGACAAGAAGCGGGCTTTGGGCGTGCGCGGTGGCGGGCGAAGGCTCGCACGAGGCTTGCGGTGGTGAGCGACGAGAGACGCCGACTGAGACGACGCGCTGCGAGAGAGACGTATCCGCCGCCTGCTGCCACGCACAGCGGGCTTCTTTCTTCTTTCCGTTTTTGTTTTCTTTGTTTCCTTCTGTTAGACCTGCAGATCCCGTCGTCTCTCGCAGATTCAGACGCAGGCTGCGGCAGGTCCTCGTCGCGTCCCGGCGTTGCGGGTGCCGAGTTTTGGTTGAACGCTCCCTCGGCTCGTCCCATCGCCCCAACAAGCGGCCGTGGCTTTCCCACCAAACGCCCGCTCTCCGCTTCCGTCTGCGCGCGCCCAGCCCGCGAAGGCCGCTCAAGGCGGCCGTGATTTCAGACCGCCTCGTTCTCTGCGCTCCGTCGTCGCTGCGAGCCGACAGGTCGCCTGAGACCCAGCTCAACTCTCATCTGAGAAGGTCCGTGTCTCGGCTGATATCACGTGATTCGAATGACGTTGAGTAAGTGATTTAACCAACGTAGACGGTTTTTTTTTTTTTTTTTTTTTTTTTTTTTAAAAAAAAAAAAACACCATAACAGCGAGAACGCGAATTCTTGGAATCTAGTAGTTCTAACTGTGCATACACACTCCTCTACCTAGCAGTTAGACGAATTGACAGGCCTGACGCGGCGCCCAACGCGTGAAATACAGGTATGTCGATTCCCTGGCCCAGGGGGGAGTTCTGGTCAAACAGACTGCCAGAGCATGCTACCCAACTAGCGAAGCACCTTCAAGCGGCAGTGCAGTTCGTACATAGCACGCCCAGCCGCACTGTTGAGCTGGACCCTATAAAATTAATAATATTCACGGCCCTCAACTTCGTGACAAAGGTATAGCAAGCCCCGGATCTTGTCCATGTCCATAATGCAGTCTATGCTATCCAAGCACAGCTCCAAATAGGAGCAGAAGACTTAGTGAAAGAGCTAGCGGTGATAAAAGAGGGAATACGCGGCCGTACCACAGAAGCCCAAAAGACAGCAATCATCAGCGAGGAGGCAAAAGCAGCGGCGCTCGAAGCAACGGCGATTAGCAGGACAACAGTGGACATAGCGAAGGACATTAAAAACAAAGCAATGCGACCCCAAGAGGGGACACCTATGAGCTACGCTGCGGCGGCGGCCAGAGGTGCTCACAGCGTACAGATACATGAGCAAAGGATGCCTCCTACCGCGCCGAACCAGCGGGAGATCATAGTAAACATTAGGGATAGCCACACGATCGAACGCTTACGAGCGATGAACCCGCGGACTCTTAAAACATACGTCAACCAAGCAATTACCCAAAGCGAGAACGAACATATCACCGGCATCACCATAATGTCAGCTAAGCAATTGAAGAGCAGGGACCTCAGTATCTGAAAAACAACAGGTAAGGAGATGCAGCTCCTGCGGCAATTCACAGATGACTGGGTAGCACGAGTTGGTAGCGGGTCCTTGGTCAGGAACCCGACCTACGGCGTCTTAGTATATGGCATACGGGTTAGTACAGTCGATATGGACAAGCAGGAAGACATAAGAAATGCCATCCTGCAAGACAATAAACCGTTTATCCTAGACGCAGAGATTAAATATATTGGGTGGCTCACCTGGGGGGCACCAAGTAAAGCAATGTCGTCAATCATTATAGAATTTATAAGGCCCAAGGACTCCAACAAGATTATCAATGAGGGCCTAGTATGGCAAGGAGAGATGTGCCAGAGCGAGCGCTATAAACATCAGTGCCGCCTAAAGCAGTATTTCAAGTGTCAGGTATATGGCCATATAGGAACCCAATGCAAAGCAGCAAAGACATATGGCTACTGCGCGCTAGAACACGATTCTAGGGACTGCCCATCCAAAGGAGACCGGGATGCCCCTAGGAAATGTGCAGCATGCTATGGCACACATGAGGCGTAGAACCGTTTGTACCCAACCAGGAAAACGAGCTGGCCAAGGTAAGGGCGGCCTATGCTAGTAGGCCGCGATACCACGCGGTCGCGCCAGTGATAGGAAGCGACACACTAGCTGCTGTCGCGTCCCCCTACTGCGGAGGACAAGGTCAACATGGGACATGAAAACAACCCATGCTTCCGCCAGAGGCCAGAAGAGGGCGGCGCCGGAGGGAAAAGAAAACAAGGGGTCGAATCAGCGACCGCAGAGGCTACCAAAGCCTAGCAGGAAAGCGCTGGAAATGATTGACACAAACATCACAACACGCCGCAGCACCGAAAATATGGACCTTGACAGTGACAGTGACTGATGACAGAATATAATTAACTAAAGATACTGCAGTATAACGTCCGCAAATTAATGAATCAGGTTATGGCGACGCTACTCTGCGACCCAAGTATAGTGACCTATGATATAATAGCTATTTAAGAACCCTGGCGCAATCCATTCAAAGATATGACACACCACCCAGTAAAGAATATCTTCCACCTTTGCTATCCGACGGATAGCATGAAGGAACACCCGGCGCGGGTATGCTTCTTCATTAATAAGCGTCTAGACCACGCCCGATGGCAAATCGAGTAATATATATAAGACCTATGCATATTGCCGATGCTCACGGGTGAAGGGGAGGCAGAAAACGAGCTGATACTGCATAATGTGTATAACCCAGGCCAAGGCGAAGACCAGGCGGCCACCCTCCCAGTCCTACGAACCCAGCTAGGGAAACATACTATGAAAGAGCAGATAGCGCTCAGTGACTTTAACCTACACCACCAATTATGGGGGGGCCCAGAAGTCATAAGGGAAGAGCCAGAGTCAGAGGAACTTATTAAGATTATGGACGACCTTAACATGATAAATGTGCTGAAACCAGGCACAATCACATTTAATAACGGCCTTAGTCAGACAACCATTGATCTCTGTTGGATGACACTGGGTCTGGTTGACCGGATAGTCCACTGCGGGGTAGATAAGGACATTAACCATGACTTTGACCACCTACCGATCGGCATCACGCTAGAAACAAGGATCCGAACGATAGAACCCAAACCCAAACGCCCATGGAAACACCTAGACGAAGAAAAGTTCTGTGAGGCACTAAAGGAGGTCCTCACACCATAATGCAGGCCAGACACGAAGAAAGCGCTTGACGAGTATGTCCAGCACATCGTCTCCGCAATCCATACAGACAGAAAAGGTCCTACCTTTGAGGAGGTCCAGCCCTAAGATGAAGGAAGGGTGGGACGACGCATGCCGAGAAATACTTGCAGAAATGAAGCGCCTCTGTAGATTGTATTCAGAAAGCACACAGAGACCGGGTGACAGAAGCGGCGAGCTCGGTCGAGTCACTGTGGAAGGTCGCAAAATGGGCACGCAACAGGGGCAACCAAGTCCCAGGATATCAAACAGGGCGCTACAGGCAGCCGCAGGAATACTAGTACTGTACCTCACGACCATCATCAATCAAAGCCTAAAATTAGGATACTGCCCGGCCTACTTCCGCGAGTTGACCACAGTGGTACTACGAAAGCCTGGAAAGGACAACTATATAATTCCTAAAGCGTACCGCCCGATCGCGCTTCTGAATATGATCGGGAAGGTCATGGACACAGTCATCGCCCGGCGACTCAGCTTTCTGGTAGAGAAATATCAGGTGCTTCCCAGCCGACATGTCGGAGGCCGGAAGCTGCGGTCTACAGAACATGCGCTACACGCGCGGCACGATCGTCGTTAGATGCCGCGTCTTGGTTCGTTGTTCGCACGCCTCATCGAGAACCGCAACGATCCTTGCCTGTCGTCCACGCAATCGTCGTTTCGGCGGTCGAGGAAAATGGGCGATCAGCACACTGCATCCGTTCATTGTTGCGACGTTGCTGAAATTTGCCTTCCGCGCACAAGCTGGAGCTGCTGAGGGCGTGAAGCGTATACCACACATCCTCAATCCAGCGCCAAAGAATTTATTGGACAGACTAACGTTCGAAACACTTTCGTTCGAAACACTTTTGTTGTCAAATGCCTCCTCACGCTCTACCCTCTTTTCTTGTTTTGCCCAGTTCGTACTTGTACGCAACAGAGTTCCGCACGGCCAGCCTTTAAGAGAGGAAAACAAGAAAAGAAAAAGAAAAAGAAACAAAGAGGAAAGAAAGGAAGGAAGGAAGCAGTTAACGAATAAAACAAAAATATATAGTCTAGCAATTTTTTTTTTCTTCCCAATGGCGTCAGAGGGGCTACAGAGACGTTGATCGGAAAACAGCTTCTATAGTCTAGACCGCGAGAACCTTTGGCACGAGTTTCGGCGGCGTAACTGAGCCAAAGGCGAGGGATAAACACAATTGTACAGCGCGTGCACTAAACGCCGCTGCCTCGGCGCTCTTCAGGCTCGTTCACACAGGTCACGAGCCTCCGCTGGAGGCGCCAGCCATCATGGCGAACTGGACCGCCCGACGGCGGTCGATCTCCTTCTTGAGCATCATCAAGCAGCTGGCGACGATCACGTCCTCCCTCAGGCCGATGCCGTCGCAGTACTCGGAGTCGATCTTCAGCTCGCCTCCGTTCCCGGCCCGCGTCGAGCTTGAGCCCGGCGTTCGCGCCTCGTCGTTCCTCACCAGCTCGGCCACCCTCCTCCCGAACTCCTTGCCCGACTTCTCTTTTTTCTGCTGCTGCTGCTGCTTCCCTCCTCCCTCCTCCTCCTCTTTGTCCCCCGCCTTCCCCGCGCTCTCGTCGGAAACAGGCGGTGCCTCTCTCACCACCAGGATCAGGTGCGTGCGTTTCTTCTCCTTTCCCTTCACGGCCGAATCGTAGGCGTCGCGCTCCCGCTTGTACAGCCATGTGAACGTCAGCCCGTCGGGAAGCACAAACTCCTGCTGCCTGCTCGTCCACTTGCTCTTGGTCACGATCGTAGCCTGCTTGTCGGCCGGCCCGCCCAGAATGTGGATCTTCGGGTCCCGGCCGGGCCCAAACAGGTACTCGGACGCCAGCAGCTCCTGGTCGTTCGCGTCGTGCAGCACCGCGTTTCCGGAGCAGATCCTGGCTCGCCTTGACGTGTACACAAGTTGGCCGTCCGTGGTGGTGATGGGGATCTCCAGCTCTCGGGAGGGCAGCGGCAGACTTATCAACCGGATACCTCGTGCGTTGACCAGAAGTGTTTTGCTGGGCGTGAAGTGCGGAGTCGCAAGAGTTATGCAATCCGTTCCGGAGGAACTTGTCGACCTGACCTCTGCAAGAAGCTCTTTGCGATCGGTGACGCTGACGTTGTTGAGATCATAAGCTGGCGGCTCGTCGAAATAGGTTCCCTCCAGCTGCTCGTTCCGCTCAAGCACAGCCATCGTGTTGTTAACAGCCTGCGATGTCTTTCTTCTTGGGAAATTTCACGGATCGTCGATGTAAAAAGAGACTGTATACCTAGTGACTGGTGCTCCGTGCTGCCTTTTTTTTTTTTCCTCACTTTCTTAGTTATTTTTCCAGGTGAGATTCTTCCACTTGGTATTTATGCTCGCGTTGATGGCGCCTCGATTTGCGAGGCACAGCGACATATACGCGCTTGGCCATAACTGGGGACGTGCGAACGTCGTATACGTTTCAGGTAATTGTTCTGAATACGCCCTTCGCTGATTCGTCTGATGGTGCCATCAGCTGTTCAAGGCAGATTCCTACGCGGAGGCAGTGCAGCTCGTCAGATTGGCGGGGCTCCCTTCCCTCCCCCGTCTGTCGAGATTTGCCCTCAAGCATCGCGCCGGCGGGGCGTCAGATTGAAATTTGCCCCTCAAAACATATTAGCATATCGCGACGAGCCGCCATCATGGAATCTTATCAGTAGATGGACGCAGTAATGGAAGTGCTTCAATCAGCTGTGCTAGCCACGGGCGATATCTCATGGGGTTTCCCCCATGACACATGACCAGCACCATTCTGTCGCCTTGGCAGAACCAAGCCAACATCCGCCAAAATCCTCCGATACCACCCCCTCTTCTTTTGTTCGAGACTCAGCTTGATCCCACAAGTTCTGAAGTCGTACTGTCACTGCTTGTCGTACAACCAGATGATTGAGATTTTGCAAAGACTTTAGGCTTAGCCTTCAGATGCAGTCGAAAGTTTTGTAGTGACATGTGAATGATAAGTGCAACCATCAAATCTACAGTTGCGGATGATTCGACCATCCTTTTCACGAGGTTCTTCAGGCCTTTGGTTGTCGTACCAAGTCATCTATATCTCAAAGTTGAGCTAAACCAAGCTCAATTGAAAGTCTATCCATTTCTACGTTAAAAGGAAGCTATTACACGACACAAAGCAAGTGTATTTTTGATGAACATTTGATGTAAATGCAAATTTGTCCAACGCCGACCCAACTCCCAACGCGGTTCCAGCCTGTGCTAACCGTCACGTGATCTAAAATTCCTGCCGAAATTCAACAAATTTGACAGATCTAGACTCAAACCGTGCAGGACGTATCAAAGACGATCAACCTTGTATTTGTCGTGGATATAATCATGCTCCTTCAGAATGCACAAGACTTACAATACATCACTAAGATATTGATCTGACAGCTGCTCAAATACGCATTGAAAGTTTTGATAGCCAGCACGCTGTAGCCAGTAGGCTGCGTCACTTTGAAGTGTACAACTTGAATTTGAGTTCATTTCTTGCCTATTTAAAAGATAAAGCGCTATGTACCTCCTTTATGCCAGATCATCGGTAGAAAATCAGTCAGTATGCTCTGCAACTTTGAAGGATCATAAGCAACTCTCTGTCTGCTATGTCATGAGAAATTCCAGATGATAAGCTGTTGAGACATGGTCCTGTTTATTTTTGAAGTTATTCTCTTGGTTCCTGAAAGCTTAGGTAAAGAACATCTATGTCAAAAAAAAAATTCTTTCGCCCTGCATTCGCAGTTTTCAGCTTGGACGTTTCCAAGCCTTTTATGGTAGCTTTTCAACCACGAATGACCGGTCCGCAATTGATCCAGTACGTGAAAAGAAAAAAAAAAGTAAATAAAAAAGAAAGGGCCGAGGTCCTCCTGGGGCTCGAACCCAGAATCTCCTGATTCGTAGTCAGACGCCTTACCATTGGGCCAAAGGACCAAGTTGGACTTCTGAAATTTGATATGATTTCTTTTTCCGTTCACCTCACCCATCCGAGTTCGGAAACACAGACTACGCACGGGTCTCGATCTCACAACATTTTTCTTTCCTGGATTCTACTTCATAAAGCTATGTTGTTGTATCGGCTTCGTGGCCCCATTTCTTGCCTATTTCAAAAAATTGAGGTAACATATCTCTTTCGTGCCAGATCTCTGTTGGAAATATGGCCTGTTTGCTCTGCAAATTCGAGGATGCCAAGTTAACTCCCTGTCTGATATGTCATCAAATATCATCAGCTGTTAAGATGGGGCCCTATCCGTTTTCAAAGTCATTATCTTAGTATCTGAAGGCACCGACAGTCGAAGAATACATGTATGTCAAAGTTTCTTCCACCCTAAATCTCTACTTGGATATTCACAGGCCATTTAGGATAGCTTTCCAGCCGTGAACATTCTGTTTGCACTTTAGCCAGTAGATTTGCTTGGAGACGCAATTTCATATCATATAGCCTGCGAGCGTGTTTACCCGATAATGAGAGATCAAATTTGCGAACGTGGTTGCTCTCCACCGAATTTTCTCATTCTTCTTGCCAGTGTGCTTGGGTTAAACATTTGACTAACTTCTTTTGGGAAGAGAAAAAGTGAGGCGAGGTGATGTTGCAGTGGCCTATTCACAGTTTCCTGGGCTTCTTTACACTATTCGCGGCTCCATTTACTCGGATTTCCTCGCGGCCTGGAATCCAACCACGAGGATTTCGATTTCGCATCCCTTTGTGCTGCTTTCAGGTTCTATGCTAATCCTTTTGGTGATGGGTTGTGCCATTACGAACTTTAGGTTATCTATTGCTTATAGTGCCGCGTTATAGCCAATAATAATAGTGTTTTCAGCTGGCACTAATCACGCCGCTATCAGTCGCTTGATTGATTGAACTCTTGAACCAGGCTCTACCAGTTGATGGGCGGGTTAAATTCAACCATTTCCGAGCCGCCCAATTTGAAGGTCAAACCGGGCTGTAGCTTAATCATCCTGGACAGTATAAGTAATTAAGCATCGCGATAGCTCTAACTTAATGTAAATTGCAACACCATAACTGTTTTAATTGCCAAGTAAATTTCACATCCACAACTTACTTTGATGCCATCTATGCACTCTCTGTGGACTTGCATATATCTAGGTAACGAGGTTATAAGTTCGGCTAATAGGTCCTGCACGCCTTCTCTTCATCAGCTGATCTTGAGATTCTGCAGATTCAGCCTCATTCTCGAAGAGGTTATTATCAAATCCATATGAAAGAGACCTCGCAATAAGGCTGATAATATCGCCAGCGCAGCAATCGACTTTCACATGCGGAGAAGCCAAAGTGGTTTGCAATAGCCTTGATTGCAGTGTCGTCATTGCTGGTATTATCTAGTACGAACCATCCAAGAGCATGACCACCCTGATCACCTGACTTGCAATTGCGACACCATAATACGACTCAGATTGCTCTGCAGTAGCTAGCGATACTAACTGAGGTTCAAATGAAGCATCAAGGCAGTGTGCTGTTATGCTATTGATTGAGAGATGGTTATTTGAGGGTCATATGTCAAAAGTCATGTGGATCTTATTCACAGCTGTATGAGTAACTGCCACCTTGTGAGTGTAATATGCCTAGATTATCCGACTTTTCAATGACGAGCTATGAGGCACTGAAACTCGACTGCATAGATAATCGATAATTTCTTGGAATGTCTCACTATCAATCTGCCTGACTGTTAGGTTTTTAAGGACTATCCAGCTGACGGCTAGCTTCTGAGTTGTGATCTTTTTGAATGAGCTCGCAAGATAATTTAAAATAACTTACTGCTGCACCGAATCGAGATTGAGACCTGAAATAGGCATTGAACCTCATCTTTTGGCAGCAATCCAGGTATGTGAGTCCTTGTCGTATTTCTTCTTTAATGCTTCAATGCATGCCTTAAAACACTAACTGTACTATTGCTAACATTGAAGCAGTGTTTTACCTGTGCATCCGCCTTATGGCACTGAGAGCATAGCCAATACAGATCGCGAGTAATTAGATATTCGAGGATCACACCGCGTGTCTATATAGGCGAGTTCAACCTGCCGACTGGGTGAATCAGAAGAGATCAGAGGGACCAGATCTCAACGAGGGGAGATAAAGGTTATATTTGGCAACAGAACCCCGCAACAAGCGCCAAAGTTCTAAACTTGACATCTTAAATTAGAACCTTTCAAAATTAAAGCGGTAAAGGGACAAGTTAACTACGAACTTCAGCTACCTAAGGTAATGAGGATATACCCAGTCTTTCGCTTTTCACTGCAAAAAGGGGAACCCAGAGACGCCATTGGATAGAGACATTTGACTAAGAATGACATGGAACCGGAAATATGAAGCTGAACAAAATTCTGGGTTATAAAGTTAAATAATGTTGACACTTTTACCTCATCAAGTGGAAAGGATACTTATCAAAAGAAAACAGTTGGGAATCTTACAAGAACCCCATCCGGTTAAGCTACAGCACTTCAACAATCAGAACCTGACGCATTCGAAATCATCGAGTCTAGCTTTTCAGTAATCTCGCTGAAATCCACAATACTATCCGTTACCTTATAAAATTTCGTCGGTCGTCCCACCGTTGCTAGCTCTTCCTGCTTCTTCCTCCTCTTCCAGCTCTTCTAGAAGACAGATCGTATTCTCTTTTAATGTTATCTTTGCGAAACCCAATAGTTTGCGGTTATGGAAAAGACGGGCTTGAGTTCCAGCTAACTCAACGCTAACTCTCTCCGACTTTTTTTTAAATCATCATCGATTGCCACGCGGATTTGCTCACTGATCTTGTCGAGAAACTCCAATGCAATTTCCTGCGAGCGCAGTTCGCGCATTATACTCCTTTGAAGGAAGATATAAGGAAGCACTGCAAGTTATAGAGAAAGCAATAATGGCACAGATTGTCACTTATCTCTCCAAAGTCCTCAATATCGAGGACGGCAGGTTGCGACGAGGAGTTTGGGGAGAGGCCATTTTCGCTTGAATCATGAGACCACTAACCTTTTAAGTAACGTTACTATGCTTGGGACAAGCTAGGTAAGAAGGGGAATAATAAGTTATTACAACTGGAATGTTAATATAAGTAGTCAGGTGACCGCTCATGGCGCTCACTTGCAAGCAAGGTGAGCGGGTTACAGGACTAGGGACATCCAATTGGCTAATGATTTCTAGTACAAATCGGAAAAACAGAAGCGCTCATCGAGCTCACGGGTGTGAGGCGTGGGCGCCTAAGAACAAAAGTCTATAAAAGAATGATGGAGCTCACTCTTATAGCAGATTGTAGTTAAATTGTCTGGCTATCTAATTTGTTAATCGGAACACTTTACCCTTGTTTATGCCATAACAACCTAAGATCAAAACTTAACTCTTGCTGACTCTTGTCAATGTCTGTGCGGAAGATCACGGGAACGATGAATGGTGCATAAGTGAGATCGTAAACCTGCTTAGTTCATTGTATGCTGTCTTGACTGATGGATTGTATGGTTGTTCTCCTGTCCCCTACCCCTGGCTCTCCTCTCTTATCTAGCTAGCGTTTGCTTATGTCACGTGATACTTGGTATGTGCTCAGACTGACAACTCTCCCCTTCCTTAATAAGCTCTAAGTATACTTCTATGCTCTCGCTCCAGGAAGCCTATCCCTTCCGAAGTAGCCTTCTTAACTAAAGTTAATCGGTACGGGAAAGGTATTCCAAATAATTTTAGCCCAGAGCTGGGGAATAACAAGGAGATCGTATAAACGGGAACGGTGAATTAGGAGAAAGGAGGGTGCGCTCAAGAGAACACAGAAGAGATGCACTGCTTTGCTTTGCCTTGCTTTGCCTCGCTTTGCTTCGTCCTCAACTTAGTTGATATTATGATATCTTCTTATCTATTTTACCTATTTTTTATTTTTTTTCCTTATCTCTCAAGCTTTGAGCATCAAATTTCTCTGGCTCCCAACATACAGCGAGTCCTTTCCTGTCCTCTCGCCACAAGCCTGAGGAGGCTATCCTCCCTTTCCTACGTGGTTCCCGTGTTACTGATTGTAACACCAGTAACTAACTTAGCTAAGATTTTTATTAAGATAGGTGAAAGCGGGGATCCTGTTAGCAATCTTAGGAAGACTCGTAGGATCTTGCCTAAGCAATACTAATTTAATTGATGCTTTTCCATCAATCTCGCCTAAAACTATTTATCTCTTGTCATACCACTGCTGGTATTGCTATCTTGCATAGTATTTGGTTCATAGTCATTTCACCTCTTGACATCTTCCTTCTTCTCAGCTCTTTTGGGTCTCGGTGCAATAGAATCTTCAGGCTTCAAATGATGTTTCGAGCGCTATACATGATCATCTCAAGCTCCAAGGACTTGCCTCTGGACGGAGGTTGATTTCACATGCCTCAGAAATGGCCTTACTGTTTGCAAGCAGGGAATTGCCTGGCACGTTCCAGGTCGTGATTTGTGTTTTCAGAAAATCAAGCTGAATATTTTCATCATGAATTCTCTCCAAATGACGCCGCTTTGCAGGCGCTTTTTTAAATGCTCTACAACGCAGACACCGATTCTCGACGCATCTGAAGAGCGTTCGGAACAGCGCACATCACACAAAAGCTCGCAAGTATTCAACCAGGGCCATGATTGCCATCGCCTGACCATACGGCATGGCTGTCCTCTCAATGTCCAGATAGTGCTGCAGAGTCTCGCCCATGGCCGTTCCAAACGAGGTGTCGAGAAGCTCGCCGTCCGCACTAATCTTGCCCATCACAGCCCTGGCGGCTCTCCTTCCAACCTCCTCGTACTCGCGACCGACGTATCGCTTGCGGACCGCTTTCAAGATACCGTACGCGAAACCTGCCGTCGCGCTTGATTCCACGTACGATCCCTCGGCTTCGGACACGTCGAGCAGCGTTCGCCACAAGCCGCCCTCGTTCTGGAGCCGCCTCAGGGCTTTGCATTGGGCCTCCAGGACCGCGATCAGGTGCTGGCGCAAGAAGTCGTGCTCCGGAAGGTCTAGCAGCTCTATGAAGTCCGGGATCGCGATGGTCAGCCAGCTGTTGCCCCTGGCCCATCTCGCCCTTGCGAAGTTGTGCCCTTCGGCGCCAGATGCGCTCTCGTCGAACTTCCAGCCGTGGAAGAAGAGACCCGTCGTCGGGTCGAAAAGGTACGTGATGTGAAGCAGGAACTGCTTCTTCGCTTCTTCAATGTAGTGTGGCCGGTTCAGAAGCTTGCCGATCTTGGCCAGTGGCATCACCGTCATCATCAGCGTGTCGTCCCACAGCTCCTGCGTATTCGGCGTCAAGTACGTGACGTGCTGCATCCCGCCGTATCTCGTTCGTTCGAGGTCGTACATTGCCCATTCCGCCCATGAGTCGAGCCAGGGAAGGTAAGATTGCTTCCGTGTGCTCTCGTACAGGTATGCAAGGGTCAAGAACGGGGACATGGTGTTGATGTTCTTCGTCGTCCCGAGCCCCAGCTGCACGTCAAACCATTTTTTGATGTGACCCAACGCTGTCTCATCTCCCGTGCTCTCATGATATTGCCACAGTCCATACAGGCCGATACCGTGCGTCCACTCCCAGCCGGAAATCCATCCTTTCGTGTCAATCACCCTTCCATCATCGAGCTTCAGAAGAAAGTGACCCGTCTCGTCCTTTATGTGGACGAGGTTGTGTATGAGCAGCTCGATGCTAGACTTCACATCGGAGCGCTTCAAGCCGTCGACGATCAGTGCACTCTGCGCCATGACGAACAAGAAGCTATGGAGGAAGGAGTCGCAGAGATCCGTTGGCTTTATCTTCCAAGCACATTGCTAGTCGGCCGTGCTGTCAGAACATGTTGGTGCATCAATCTCACTCCCTCTTATTAAAACCACCAGAACCCACTTGGCGACTTGATGAAGCACGGAAAGATCCGACACGATGATGTGAGTGGAGTCACACCTCGGTGTTTAAAACTCCTGCAACTCTTGGCAGAGGCGCACCCCGCATAGTGTTACCCCGAGATCATCCACCAATGGTGGCAGTGAGTCGGGGCGCTGACTGGCTGATTCTCGACCTGAACTGATGGTTCATCTTTGTCCCGTTTGGGTCGCCTGAACTTGGGGAACGGCGGGGTCGTCTGGCGAGCGGATGCCAAGTCCGGGGTAAACGTGATGCGGAAGCGTCCCCGAGGCAAGGCGGGTCATTGAACAGCGAGCGAAGACTGCGGAGAAGCCATATCATATAGTGGAGACGATGCGCTTCCCAGTGGTTTCGAGTCGTCTCACAAATCCCCATTGTCATCAGTTGCGCCAGCCCCCTGTGGCAGACCGAACATGTCGAACATCGCCGCTGCGGCATCCGCTCCGGGTGCCAACCAGAACGATCCCATGGAGAAGCACGACATAACGAGCATCGAGAGAGTGATGTCGCCGGGTATGGAGAAGAATTTCATGGACTACGAGAAAGTCGACGCGGAAGTTGCCAAATGTGAGCACCCCAGGATCGCCCTTTGGGTTCGTTGGCACATGATAACATCAAGCTAGACGCGACGCAGACTGGTATTGAGGTTCCCGAAGCTGAAAGCAAGCGCCTGAAGCGCATGATCGACAAGCGCGTGCTCACCGTCATGGTCTTCACGTACTTTCTGCAGGCTCTGGACAAAGGCACCCTGTCGTTCGCCGTTATCATGGGCATCAAGGATGACCTTCACCTGCATGGACAGCAGTACCCGTGGCTCACGACGTGCATCTACATCGCAGTCCTGATTGTCGAGTATCCAACGAACTACCTGATCCAACGGCTACCGGTCGCAAAGTATCTCGGCGTCTGCATTATGCTCTGGGGCACCATCTTGGCATTGCATGCAACGCTCAAGAGCTTTGAGGGAGCCGTGGTCCTTCGAACGCTTCTGGGTATCTTCGAATCGGTTTGCCAACCGGCATTCTTGATCCTTTCCTCAATGTGGTATAAACGAGAAGAACAAGCTGCAGCTGTGACTTTCTGGTACGTCACATCATCCATGCATGCAGATTTTATCCCATGCAATCTTATGCCTTCCGAAGCCGACGATGTTTCTGTCCATACGTGGCTAATATACGTTACTCTAGGTACATGATGAACGGCGGCCAGCAAATCGTCGGAGGCCTGCTTGCCTATTGCTTCAGTCTGATCAAACACGGGCCGCTCAAGTCCTGGCAAGCGCTTTTCGTCACGTACGGCTGCTTCTCCGTCCTCTGGGGCGCATTTGTGCTTTACTGGTTACCAGACTCGCCGATGAAGGCCAAGTGCTTCTCGGAAGAAGACAAGAAGCTCATGGTCGAGCGGGTACGCGCCAACCAAACCGGCCTGCAGAACAGGAAATGGAAGAAATCTCAGTTTTTCGAGGCCTTCCGTGACCCGCAGATGTACTGCTACGGCATCATTCAGATCTGCACCACGCTTCCCACATCCGGCCTCGGTGCGTTCGCAAACATCATTATCACTGGGCTGGGCTTCACAGTTTTGCAAACGCAGCTCCTTGCCATGGTTTTGGGTGCCTTCATCATCATCATTCTCCTGTCTTCGACCTGGCTTGTCAAGAAGACGGGGCAGAATCTCCTGGTTATGGGAATCTATGTCATTCCGTCGTTCATTGGCACGATAATACTGATGACTGTGCAAAACACTTCGACGGCCACCGAAGCAGGCCTGCTCATATCTTATTACATCGCTCTGTCCTTCTGGGCTGCGCAAACCCTGGCAATGAGCATGATTACGCGTAATGTCGGAGGGCAAACGAAGAAATCCGTCGTGGTAGCGTTCAACTTCATTTGCTGGGCAGGAGGCAATGCTGCTGGGTAAGTTGATCATTCGGCTCAAACAGTGATCAGGGTTGACGCCAGTCACAGTCCTCAGGTTTTCCTATCTTGGGATGCCCCTCGCTACTTCATTGCGTTTGCAACACATCTTGGTTGCTACACCCTTCTTGTGCTCGATATCATATTCCTCCGCTTCTGGCTCAGATATCAGAACAAGAAGAAGGATGAGCTAGTTGGTGAAGTCTCCTTGAATGATGCAGACGGCGTGGTGCACGGATTTGAGGTACGCAAATCTTACACTGACTAATTGATGTTTTGAGACTAAAACAATATACAAACAGGACTTGACTGATCGTGAGAATCCTCGGTTCAGATATATATACTAGTAGTTTAAGCATGCATGAGCAATTTTTATACTAATCATCGTGTCCCGGCTGGTGAATCTTTCGGTATCGCAGTCGGCCCAACAACATCCTGCAGGTCATCGACCCGTCTGTCTTCAATCCATTTTATCGCCGCGTCTCTGTTTCTACACACATGTGGCTGTCCTCTTGCTGCTTCTGCAGGCGTCGACAACTCGCCTTCGAGCGTCATGTCAAGATTGCAGAGAATGCTCGTCCTCAGGTACTCAAAACAATGTGAGGCATGATGAGGGTTGTCTGCCTCGCTGGGCCCGTTGAGTAGAAGCTGGTGATAGGAATCCACTGCGTAGTAAAGACAGTGTATAGCGTGCGTCCAGCTGGCCTCAAACAACGGTCCTGATCGAAGTGGATCGTCTGTGATTGGATTTCCTAGTAGCGGGTATTTCTTGTATTCGGGGATGGCGACACTTCCGCTTCCCTTTGGCATGAGCATGTCCCAGTTTCGTCTGACTTCGTCTCGGTTGTCATTAGACGAGATGTTGGGAAAGTACTTTTCCGGTTCAAACTTGAGATACGTGTAATCGTGCAAAGCTATGAACCCACGTGCTCAGCGGCGTCAAGTCGATTCATTGCGACGAAAACTTACTGGTCGTGTACAGGCCGTTCACATCATCTCCTGTCTCGACAAATTTTCCCTTTAGCTCTGACACCGTCTCGTGGGAAATGCGAGGCTGGGGCTGCTTCCACAGCAATAATACGAGCATGATCAAGATGAATTGCAAAGTGACTACTACGAGCCATCGACCCCATGTTAGAACAGACTCAATTCTTCGATCGGAAGCTTTTCTGCTGAGTTTTTCGAACGTTTTCTCGTCAGCGAATGAGGAGACTCTGGTGCTTTCAGAGAAGTTGTCTTCCACGTCGACCTCGTCGTAACGTTCAGAAGGGCGCATCAGACTTTTGGATTCTTCCATGGCTTTCCTTGGCAGATTTGACGGATCCAGATCCTCCTCGTTAATTAAGAGAGATGAAAAAGAGAGCAAGGAGAAGAAGAAAGAACAAGATATTAGAGAATGACGGTACCAGACCTGCTCTGCGAAGATGGCAAAAACGACGAGGAAGGAGGACAAAGAAAATCGGATGGAGGCAAAGTCACGGGCATAGGCTCAAGGCTACGCACGACGCCAGCAAGACGTTCGCCCTCCATAGCTCCACTGCAGAGTGTACGGTGTGAGAGGCCCCTGTTTCAAGCAATGGGGGACACGTTTGAGCCTCTTTGACAGGTGAACGTCCGCTGGCGAGGCGACCTTGATCGACCCAGAACACGGGGACAGTCCAAGAATAGTATTGCCTCCTCTCTCTGCTTTCGGAAACATCAAAACCATCTGATAACTGCAATTTAGTCGTCAAGCGTGGTCCACAGGCGCCTGGATTGGGAGAAGATGTGCGTTTCACTGTTCGTTGTCTCAGAAAGTGTCGCGCCATGACCGCTCTGCACTGCCAAAAGCAGCACGCGCGAAACACCGCGCCAACCGACAGCGGCAGCGCTTGTCGTGATCGCAGAGCCCGCGAAGACGTAAACAGAACGTCTCGGTAATCACTTGCTTCTTTGACACCTGCTCGCCGCTGATGCCCCAACGGATGTTTCGCTCGCTTCGATCAAAGCACGTCGCTAAGCGGCTCGACGCCGTCGAAAGAAATACAACCTGGCAAAACGCGCGTGCCGAAGGCCGTGCCTGAACAGTATGCACTTTTCTCCACACAGCGTTACGGAATGTGTTTGCAATGCCCGCGTCATAGCAACAAACGGCAGGAATTTCTTTCTATTGTTTCAATTATCTATTCGTCGTTGACGACGCCTACCTCCATGTTGCCCACACTGTTCTCGAGCGCCCACTGTCTAATGCTGTCAAAGTCCCTACACACGTGGTTTGTGTTAAGCTCCGGCCAGGCTTGCGGGTCGCCGTCCACCATGTACAGCGAAAACAGGCCAATGTCTGCGTTGCACATGATGTGGTGTCTTAAGACCTCGATGCAATGGTCTCGTACGTGTCAGCGATTTGGTCCGCGATCCAAAGCTTCTGGGGACTTTTCATACCTGTGTGCGCGCGGAGGTGGTCCTCCCCAACTGCAAGCTCCCCGTTGAGCTCTTGATAATACTCCTTGTACGTCACTCGCCGAAGCAGATTGAGGCAGTGTAGGTGGTGGAAAACCTCCATCCCGACCCGATAGCCCCTCTCTCCTGTGCGTGGATGATCAACTTGTAGATGCCACTCGGGCATGCCAAGTCTCTTCATGTCTTGCTTTGAAATCCACTGATCCCCCATATCGTAAGAAATCTCTCTCCAGGCCTTGTCGACTGCCGGTCCTTTGCCGATAAATCGTGTCCCGTCGGTGCTGAAGTTGTACTGCACTCGCGAGTATTTCACAGACACATCGGCTGGCGACCATGCTGAAAATCTTCTCACGTGCTCCAAGGTTGATGTAAAGTCAACATGCGAGAGAACAAACATTGCGAACGAAATTGATAGTAATACTGCGTGTATCGTCCAAAGCCATCTTGAGTTTAATGTTTCCCGGGTCGTTCTATGATATGGAATCGCTTTCAGGTCGCTGCTGAGTTCGTCCCGGTCGTTTAGAGTGATAGATGAGTCTTCCGATTGCGATTTCTCATCTGATTCGCCGTCCAGCGGCACTGATTGATATTTGAATCCCATTTCTGAATTTGTGGTTCTTTCGTTTCGAGTCCAGTCAAAAGTCAAAGTTGCGAAAGGTTCAGAAGAGCTTTTGCCAACATCATCGACAAAGGCAAAAGATGTTCTCTTGACTGATGAATCAAGAATGCTGGCAAATTGTAGTCGGCAACACGGCACAAATATGTTTCTTTTCATCAGTCTCAAAACTTCTTGGTCAAGAGACTTGTGAGCGCCACAGCCGCCGTGCAAGCAACTTGAAACAGGTACCGATCCAGCATATGCCAAGGGTCAGCCCGTAAGTGCTTGTCTCCTTGTTGAAAGCAAAACAAACTCCACATTGCAAGCTCTATGGCAAAATTTGACTGATTGTGATCAAAACAAGGTGCATGTTGGCTCCTTAGCTTCGAACAAGACTTGCGGAGCCTGAATGTCAAACATGGCAGCCCTGCCTTGTCCTGCCTTGTCTCTTCGTCATATTGCCTGCAATTCGCCGGGCCCCTACTTCCTCTACAGCGTGCTATAAAATGATCTGTTCCACTGGCTCTACGCATTATTCCAATACATTCTTTCTCACACGCTCTCTTTTTTGCTCATTCCCTCTTCTCTTCGCCAAGCTGCTGTGCGGCCAATTCGATATTTTTCACCAGCCTTTCACATTCGATTCACTCCTTCATCATGATTGCTAAGGCATTCCTCCTTGGCCTTCTGGCCACCGTTCCCCTCGCTACTGCCCTGGAGGCACGTGAGGCTGGAGTGCAGGAGAGAGACTACACCGTAAGCCACGATTGCAGAGTAAAACAGCTGCATTGACTCATACGTACAGGGCTCGATCGCCGCCAGAGCAATTGCTGCTATTGCTGAGATCGAACGCCGTCATCACACTGAAGCTCAGATCGCGGCAAAGGAAGCAGCAGCCAAGAAGAAGGGCACCCAGAAGCGTCAGGCTCCTGATGAATTCGGTCCATGGGACTCTGAGGTGGATGAATTCGGTTCGTGGGTTGACAAGCGTGAGGCACACCACACCGAAGCTCAAATAGCCGCCAAGGAAGCAGCAGCCAAGAAGAAGGGTGGCCAGAAACGTCAGGCTCCTGATGAGTTTGGTCCATGGGACTCTGAGGAGGATGAGTTTGGCTCATGGGTTGACAAACGTGAGGCGCACCACACAGAAGCGCAAATCGCGGCCAAGCAAGCTGCTGCTGCAAAACAAAAGGGCAACCAAAAACGTGAGCCTGAGCCAGAAGCGCACCATACAGAGGTAAGATAATCGAGCTCCTTGAACGTCAACAGCTAACACATTTATAGGCTCAAATTGCCGCTAAGGAAGCTGCTGCTGCGAAGAAAAATGGCGCCCAGAAACGTGAGCCTGAACCACACCACACCGAGGTATTCCGCGCAATTCTTTCCAGAATTCACTGATTGACTCGATCTTCACAGGCTCAAATCGCGGCCAAGCAGGCTGCTGCGTCCAAAACAAACTGCAAGCGTGAGGCGAATCCTGAGGCACATCACACAGAGGTAACAGCTTTTCAACTACATCCTCGAAAGCTCCACTAATCAAGGGTTTAGGCCCAAATCGCTGCGAAACAAGCTGCGGCAGGCTCTGCCAGTGGATGCTAGATCCAACTTCGTCTGAATAACAGTGATATGGTGTATATTAGGCGTGCGTTGGAGTCGAGCTTGTGTTTCCAAACAGTAACTTAGGCGCTGAAACATTTGAATATCTGCTTTGGAACAACGACATGACTGATTGGCCCCGAGGATCTCCCTTTTCAGAACGAATCCAAAATGTTTCGTGTCTGAGCGTCAGAAACAAAATAGATAATCTGCCCGTGTTGAACAAGCTCGTCTCGAGACGCAAATAGCAGTGAAAGTTGCCTGGTTTTTGAAATTCTGCTGGACTGAAGTTGCATTAAACTATTTGTGTGACGTCAAGAGCTCTTCATCTTATCGCATCTGATGCGTACATTTGCCTTGCTATCCTACGTTTCATCTCGCCCTAAATGGATTCCACAATCAAAAGTTAAAAAAAAAAAAAAAAAGGTCAAGAATCCCATGCTAGCCGTCTTTAGTTAAGTCGCAGCAAAAGGTGTTCATGCTACAGACCTGCTTTGCAATACTTGGGCACTGGGCACAGGACCTGGTATTGGTGCGAAGCCATTCAAACAATGAAACGCCCAGGCACTGGTCCACAGGACACGCGTAAGAGAAGACGTGTCGAGCTCCCAGAGTATCATAAAGCTCCACAAGCGCTTGGCGCCGATGGAGCCGATGGAGAATCGGTTTGGCCTGCGCCGAACGACCGCATTTCTCTGGCACGCTCCTGCATTCTAGAGGCCGCGAAGTCGGGAGAGCGGGTGATGCTTGTTCCCGACAAGGACACAGATGGCCTGGCTGCTGGTGTAATATTACATCGCACGCTCGAGCTGCTCGGACTGCCTCCCAGCCATATCCATGTGCATCTGGTTGAAAAGGGCAATGCGATCTCTTCACCTGAAGAAAGAAGGCGAATAGCAGAGATAAAGCCAGACTTCATCTTTGTTCTCGACCAGGGATCTCGCGCGTGTCCGCCGTTGAGCACCAGCCAACACAAAGCAGTAATTATAGACCACCATTATGCACATGATGATGACCATCCTGAGGGAGCGCTACTGGTTACGGCTTGCAATTCTCCGCCAATAGCGACCAGCTCCCTTCTCACCTACACCATCTGCTCATCGCTGCACCCAGACGTGGAAGAAAAATGCAACTGGCTTTGTGTAATGGGCACACACGGCGATCTGGGAAATACGTTGAAATGGGAACCTCCGTTCCCGAACATGGACGAGGCGTTCCGGCGATACACAAAGAGAGCGTTGAATGACGCCGTGAGCCTCGTCAACGCGCCCAGAAGAACGGCCGCTTATGACGTTCGATCCGCTTGGAATGCGCTGGCGCGTGCGACGGGGCCTGCCGAGATACTACGAGACCGGAAGCTTCAAGAAGCGCGAGCGGAGATCGCTCGCGAGGTCGAGCGCGTCACCCACGCGGCGCCGACGTTCTCCCACGACGTAAGGGTCGCCGTGTTCCGCATCTCAAGCGCCGCACAGGTGCATCCGATCGTTGCCACGCGCTGGGCAGGGCATCTGCAGTCTCCTCGACTCGAGATTGTCCTCGTCGCCAACGACGGCTACGTGCCCGGTCAGGTCCATTTCTCGTGCCGAGTGCCGCGGTGCGCGAGGGCACGAGACACGCCTGTAAACATAATCGAGTCCTTGAAGGCGCTCGCGGCCAGCAGCCCCTCTGGGGATCTGCTGGAACGACTTGGAGAGTCATTTGCTCGAGGACATAAGGAGGCCAGCGGTGGCGTTGTCGGTATGGCAGAGTTTGAGGAACTGATGGCGCTTCTGCGTCTGGGAGAGAAGGCAGAGAAGACTAGTTCTAGCCGCCAAACTCCCAAAAAGACTGCGAGCCCACCAAAGCAGAAAAACAAGCTTACCAACTATTTTATCAATACAGGCTCAAAACGCTGATGGCGAGCGATTTGTTTAATCGTTGGAACGGCTTGTACTACTTGGGCGAGTGAATACAAGGCAACGATGTGTCGTCATATCTGCGCAAAGGAAGCACGACGGAATCGGAGCAAAAGCTGCGCTGCAAACAGGGCTCAAAGATGCTTGTCCATTTTCCTGTGAAGCGAAATTGTGCATTTCACCCAACGGATACCGCTATCTAACCAACCAAACAGTTTTCTGGGAGTAGCTTTTCCGATAGGAGTTTTGCCAAAGCGACTATCCTTTCGCAGCTTGGGCAGAATTGCCGGTGTAGAGTTCCAGTTTTCCCATATCGAGATCATGCGTGCAAGCCAGTTGTGTTCTTGACGTGATCACGATTGTCGAGCCTGCAAAGCGAGCGAATTTTCTCCACGAAACGACTCTCGAGAAGATGCATCGCTTTTTGAGACGTGCGCAACTTGCTTAGTTCAGATCTTTGCTCGCTAATTTTGATAGAAAACTGAAAACGTGAAAAGGGTGAGATTTTTGGCTACTTTGTGCGGAGGCTTCAAAGCCTGTGACGAACGATTTACGTTTCGGGCCATGCCATTTGCAGAGCTAATATTCAGACGAGTACACAAATAGCTTCTTGATAGTCATGTATACTCCCTGAAGAACGTGGCATCTTTGCCCGTGCTCTTTAACCCTTCTTCTTACCCTTCGTCTTGTCCAGGACATCGACCCAGGCTTTGTTTACTCCCCTTCTCTCCAACGCTTTTAAAACAGCGTCCTTCTGTGGGCCCTGAACCATGACTTCCATGATCGGGGCTTTGGGGCTGCTTCCTGCTAGTTTCTCCACACTCGTGCTTCCTGCACACGCCTTCCTTAGCTCGTCGGCCAGGGGCTGCGGTGCGATCGAATAAGCCTCTAGTCCAGAAACTTTGGTCACCATCTTGTTTCCGGAACGGGTTTCAAGTACAATTTGTATCTTCGGCGGCGCACCGGCCTTGGGCTTCAACGAGGTAGGTGATGCATCGTTGCGCGCGATCACGTGAAATGTTGCACAGGACGCAAGAACACGTTCAGTCAACATATCACGGGTCACGCTGCCATTCGCTAGGACTTCCTTGTCCAATGAGCCTTTAGAGCCGTCAAAAACACTGTTCGCGAGAAAAGGATTCAGCTTCACGAGGCGCTTGTTCGCCGGCGAGACAAGTTCCTGGCCCTCGATATAGGCTTCTACAGAGGACCTGATTTCAGACTTGGTGTAAAACGTCTTTGCGGTGTTAGAGGCGAAGAGTTCAGTAATTTTTTCCTTTGGCTTGTAGAACAAGCTCACAGTTAGGCGCTGTCCTATCGAGGTGTCTCCACCGGTATCTGGCTCGCGACCTGCTTGGCTCTGGCCGCCAACGCTCTCCTTCTTTGGCAGCCTGTAAGGTTTGAAGCTCAGAACTGCGTCATGCTCAAAGTCCACATCGAGGATCACAGCTTCGTTCCCTTGCTGATCCTTGCTCTTGACGATGTGCTGCTTGTCTAGGTGCTTGATAAATTTCTTAATCGTCTTCCAGGACGTCTTTTTGATTACAAGCTGCGAGGCCCGGTGTGGAGTAAAGGTGGGAAGAAATGGGTTGATCAAGCTGGAGAGAACGAAAGTTTGGGAAAGCGGGAATGGCAGGTTGAAATTCTTTGAGTTTGGGTTGGCCGACTTGAACGAGTTGATGCCGTAAAGAAAGGCGTTGAGGAAAGCAGCATCGATCTCTGCATAGTTTAAGAAGTCAGATAAAGCATTAGGGGGATTCCTTGAGGGCTTACTTGCCTGCCGTCGTCAAATCCCTTTCAGGTTCTTCTGCCTGCTCTTCGCTCTCATCCTCAACAGTTGCATCGTCTGGCACCGCTGCAGATGATGGCAGAGCCACTCCACCTCCATCCTCGTCATATTCGAGTTCCAAGTCCCGCGTTCTCTCCGTGACTTCGTCAATAGAGCCGTCGCCCTCGAACCATCCAGCAATCTGGTCCGGAGGCTCTACGCCTGGCTTTCCACTTGCACTCCAGGCCCATATCTCATCTCCCTGCCAGTGCATTGTCTCCACCGCAACTCCTTTTCTCGACTCCTTCAGCTCAGAGACATCCACGGCACACGTGCCGACAACCATCGGCACAGACGGCTTTGTATGACCTGCAATGGCAACAACGGCACCCTTCTTCGCTCTGGAAGGATAAGGCGGGCCGTTGATCAGACCTGGTATCATGAGGTCTGCGCCACCCTTCAAGCGCTCCTCCACGACATTACTGCCGCAATGCAAAAGTGGCACTATTCCCGGGTTTTTCCAAAGTGTGTACACGGTAGGATACAACACCCCCTCAATGCTCACCCATAGTACTCGCTGGTCGTCGCTATCCCCTCCATGAGAGCCGACATAGACCGTTCCAGAGACTTGCTTCAGATCCGGGCCATGCGTGGTGGTGAATCGTGCGGAGAGAGCGTTGTCTGGCAAGAGCGCGTTGCGGAGGTCAATACGGGCCTGCGCTGCCGCTGCCTTGTCCTCCGGCGAGGCGGCCGCATCCTCTGAGGGCAGCGGGAGGGCAAGGTCTTTTATGATCTGGTCTGCAGTGCGACGGCGGTCGCTCGAGCGCAGCGGCGCGAGAGGCTTAATCTATGGAGGGGCAGCATTGATTAGCTTGCGGGGTTGAACATCGGCAACACCTGGGACGAAGTTGGCGGTGGTAGCCTTACATTTGGTTTCTTTTTAAACATGCCGACTGACTTCGGGTTTTGAACTATGCAGATATATTTTGCGGTGACCAGGTGGCGTCCATGAAGACGGATTTCGACGCGAATGCACGCGTCTTTACCACCTCAGCTGCGACATGACGCATCAGTCAGCCCCTCCGCACTCGCAAAAATTGCTTGCTCTGGGCTGCGCAAGGGCAGCTCGTTGCTCACTCCACATGCCACACCTCAATCGACATGCTGACATACAAATTGCACTTCACGACAGGCTCTCATCTGCTCGAATCTCAACTGGGTTAGAGCTCCATCGGCCATTTCGTGCGCCCGGAATCTCGACATTCACTCGACACCGAGCAAAGCATCCTTAGCCACCCCGGAGAGATGGCGGCGCATCGAACCTAGGCATTTTTGCATGGCCGACCACTGATTACCCGGCGTTTTTACGGCAATCATCATGCGGAGACGCAAACCAGTGCGGGGACTCTGGTCTTTTTCGTCCGCGGCGCTTGTTGAATAATAGCCCTTGGTGAGCAGGAAATTCGTTCACATCAGCTTGTCTTGTTCGTTGTACAGTAGTCGCTATAGCGGCCGGTCGATTTTCTCAATATCACCAAAGTCGTTGCAACTTTTCAGCGTAGTGTTTCCCTCTTCTTTTCCCGCTTTTCCCACTCTTGTTTGTTTGAATTGAGTTGTGAGACAAAATGGCTAGCGAGAAGAGCACAGCGGCGTCGCGTCTCACTCAGATCACCGATTTTTTGACAGGGAACAAGACGGCGACAACGATCCCATGGGATCCAAATTGTACAAAGTTTCCTACGCGAAAGGAGCTGCCTCGCATTCCTGGCGCTCCTGAGTATGCCGCTTGGGTATGGGGCAAGGACGACTACATCGGTCGTCTGAACCTTCTTACTCCCACGCGTGTTGCCGCTGCAGCAAAGGAAATCAGAACCGGAGAGATTGTACCGGTAGAGTACGTCTTGCCATCCCATCTCTACCCTCGTGCGCAATTTGACGACAAGCACGCAAGCGACTAAGCCACAGATTCTAGTCTTCCCATGACAGTTCCCGCTCAACCAGCTTTTGGCCGCGAAGTATTCAAACATGAGATCAAGACACTAGCGGAGAACTACGCCTACGACGACATCTATCACTTGAACACGCAGTCCGGCACCCAGTGGGACGGCTTCCGGCACTTCGCTCATATGCCCACGGCCACCTTTTATAACGGCACCAAGGGTTCCGACATCACAGGCCCTAATGCCAACTTGAAGTGCAGCATGCACTACTGGGCTGAGCATGGCATCGCAGGACGAGGCGTTCTCCTCGATTACTGGTCCTACGCTCAGAGCAAAGGGCTCGTGTACGACCCTAATGACTACCACACCATTTCATACGACGAGCTTGCTGCGTGCGGCAAGGCGCAAGGCATAGACATCAGGCCTGCATCTCAGGGTGGCGACATCAAGATCGGTGATATACTTTTCATTAGGTCCGGATGGCGGCAGGCATACGATACGAACTCGCCGGAAAAGAGAAAGGAGATTGCGCTGAGAGGCCACGATGGACGGCACGGCACGCAGAGTTATGCCGGTGTGGGCCAAGAGGAAAAGACGCTTGACTGGCTGCATGATTGTTACTTTGCTTGTGTTGGGGGGGACGCGCCGGCCTTTGAAGCGTGGCCCACAAGGGCAGGTGAGTTCCTTTTACATCTCGTCACGTTTTCTTATTTGTTGCGGTACTGAAAAAACTATGTAGGGTATCACCTGCACGAGTATATTCTCGCTCTTTGGGGGATGCCACTCGGCGAGATGCTCGATCTTGAGAGGTTGGCGAAGAGATGCAGAGAGCTTGGCAAGTGGACTTTTTTCTTCACCAGTGCGCCAGCAAACGTACCGGGCGGTGTGAGTTCGCATGTGAACGGACAAGCAATCCTGTAAGATTATGCCCTGAAGTCAAAGAAATATGGTGCCACACGGTAAAAGTATTTACCATTTAGTAAGGTATGGTATGGCTGAATGATGTAGCAAATACATATTCCTACAGCAGATACTACATCAATGAATACAATCGATGCCTTATCATTGTAGGCAGTCTCTAGTAACTGAACCCCAGCACTCTAGCCCATACGCTATCTACCACCTAGATGGGAAGAAAAAGCAGGAACTGGGTGAGATTACTAGAGATGAATGACTTGTAAAGCCGTTGTCCAAATGCTTTGCGATCATGGGCTTGTAGAAGTCGAAACGCCATCACCTGAGCTAGTTGAGTCAAGAGGGTACAGCGTGCATGGATGCATGCACTCATGGACGATTCACTTTTCAAATCATGAATGGGATGGTGGACTGCCGGGACGAGCTTTGAAGTTTGTGGTATCGCATATCCCGAATACGATAAAGAAAGGTGGCCGGTAGTTCTAACACCAAGAAGGCTACTCCAGCATGCAAGCAGATTTTCGAGTATGATGAATAAGAAAGAATTGAGCTAACTTACAGTAATTGACATATCTTTGAATGTGCGATGCACGTGCTGGGATATCCCTACGCGGCTCAGGGCAAGCTGAAGGAGGCTGAGAAAATGTGTGAGCAAACATCAACGCTACACACGGTCGGAAGCCCTTATACTTAGGACAGCTAATGGCAATATACACACCATTCAACCGGAACAACACGCACGCTACCTGGGCGTGCATATCAGCTCTAAAATGACTTACAATCTCCACCTACAGCACCTAGAGAAGGCGCGTCGAAGCAACTGCAGGCACTAGCGCAACTGGGAAGATCTAACTGGGGGTCACGTCCGCCCAACAGAGGAAGGTTAAAAAAGCCATAATACTTCTAAAGTTCCTTCGCGGCATCGTGCTGGTATTTCCCGAAGGAGGGAGAGGCTTCAACGCCCAGAGAAACTAAATCGAAAAATCTCTAGCCAGCATATAGAAGCGGGTGTTATGCTACGTCAGCATGGCATTCAGAACAACGGCACTGGCCGCCCTTGAAGCTGAACTCTACATACTACTAATCAAAATAGCACTCCGCAGAGCCTGCGAGGCAGGCCTGAACAGTATCCAAGCATTACCACACTACAAGTATATCAAGGAAATATGACAGAGAATGTACCCGGGAGCGAAAGTATCAGCGCAATACCAATTGCTCAGCCCCCTAGAGAAGGTCAAGGTAGCCCAAACGAAGGAAGACCCGAGTTTGATGCAGAGAGAAGTGATCCAACCCAGGCTGTTCGCACCCTTGGAGAGGAAGCTCGAGATAGTAATAGGGGAAAAGGAAGAAGCGGCGGAGGCTGCACATAACACGGAAGCACAGGACGTGAAGGAAGACCCGAGCCACTGATGTTTTTATACTGATAGGAGTAAGATTAAGGAAAGAGTAGGAGCAGCAGAATATAACAGCAAGTTAAAGAACACGAAATGCGATACCTAGGCATGAATAGGGAGAGCAATATTCACGCAGCTGAACTATCAGCCCTTATACTCGCCCTCAAAATGGCAATCCAAGCTAAACGGGACCCGAACATAAAACATCCACCAATGAAAATCACGATCTTCGCGGACAGCCAGGCAGCGCTCCGGGCGATCAACAACCCAGGTAACAGCTTAGGTCAATCACTGGTGCACAGGGTCAGAATACACGAACAAGCGGCGCTCCAACTAGGGATCAGGACAAGATTCCAATGGGTCCCGGCACATATCGGGATCACCAGAAATGAGATAGCTGACGAGCTGGCCAAGAGAGCCACAGGGTGGCGAAAGGACAGGCTCCCTAAATCACCAGCAAAGACGATGGAAGGGGCAGTCCGACTGAGGTCAGCAGCAGAAAGGTGGAAGAAGGCGAAGAAAGAATGGGTGAGCAGCTGGGCTACAGCAAAGACAGGAGGCATGCTACAGCGGATCCTACCTAACGTATCCCCCTCCACGCTCAAACATTAGAGACCTGCCGAAGACAGCTACATCAATCCTGATACAGGCTAGAACCGGCATTATCGGCCTCAGAGCCTACCTACACGGAATCAATCAGGCTGAGGATAATAAATACCTATGCAGTCAAGTCCAGACAGTCCAGCATGTCCTCCAAGAGTGCCCCAACTTCAATAACCTGCGCAAGCAGGTATGGCGCAGGGTGCAGCCTGCCGACATGAAAGACCTGCTCGACAAAGACGCGAAACTCACCACCCGATTCCTACAACAAACCGGCCTCCTTGGGCAATTTACAGGAGCCATTATACAACAGGGGTGGTAGACTGCCCTTACGGGGGTAGGATACCACAGATACAGACAGGGGAAGACGGTTAATACTAAGAAATGAACCAGCCACAGAGGGCCCTAGAGATAGGGAATCCGCCCACAGGGCCCGAGGCTAAAGTCGTAAATAGAAGGCAAATAATTAGAGGGTAGCCACCCTCCAAAATGGGCCATACCCAGGGGGACTCTGAACCAGGCAGTTTAACGTCATGCCGGACGGCCGACTAGGCGGTTTGTTCTGAGGGGTAGGCAAAAGTGGTAACACCCAAGGGCTGCGGAGCGGCGGAGGATTAATGCTTGCAGTCCTGATCTGTAGGATCAACCTACCTAGATCGGCGGGGTGGATAGTGGCTATGCTTTATAGAACACGCCGGCATGGCGGCCGTAGACCAGCCGAAACGGCTTAGAACTAATCAGAATTCCAAAAAAAAAAAAAAAAAAAAAAAATCACGTTCCGCTCTAAGAAATCCCTGCTTTTAAGCATCAGAAAACGGGGCAAATAAAAAAAGCGACGCTGCCCAGCGCCTGCTTGTCCCGCACACCTATGCGGAACAAACAGAAGCCGGACAACGCCGCTTTCTCCAGTACCTACACACATAAGTATCGGATCCGAGACACAAACATCTCCCAGCCTGGGATCACAAACAAGGCAGGAAGACAAACAGAGGCCTCGCCGGATTACGATCAGTGGCTCGTAGCAACAAAGGCTACTCGTCCACGCACACGACCGGGAGACGCGACTAAGTCGTCTGCAAAGTGTTTATCCCCACGCGCAACCAGCTTGCAATACGCCGGCTAGGCCGCCCCTCTTCCCGGAGCGACCCGTCGCCGACCTGCTGAGGTCC